AGCTGGTGTGTTACGCCGAAGGGCGATTATACCGGCCATAGAGATACAGACACAAAAATGTATTATAGTGCTATAACTTATGCAAATGAAGCTTTTATTTGCATAAACAATAAGAAACATTTATAATTCATCAATCCTAACGGTTAAAATCATTTGGCAAAGGTAACATGTACATGTACATGTATGACATTGCGGAACTAGTTACTATATTGCCTTCATCAGAAGGGTATGTTTTCGGTTTGGGCCTGGTGGAGTAGCCTCCCTAGCATGCTTATAGAACTGGGGTTTGGTGGTCTTCGGCTGTTTTCTGATTTGTCCAGTTCTAACGGGGGTAATTCAACCAGGCCGGCTATGTTGTCTATATGCAATCAGAAAGTAGCACATAAAAGCTCCCAAAGACCCTGAAGACCCCCAAACCCCAGTTTTTGGCATGCTATGGAGGCTACTGGTGGAGCAGCTGTGGTGTGGGTCTGTATGTAGGTCAATGTCATAACTCGAGTAGTTGTGGATGGATCTTATTGATATTTGGTATGTGCGTAGATGTTGTGTAAATGAAGGTCAAATGAATTCTGCACGATTCATGCCTTGGAACATCAATTGTACCTAAGGTGCATACAATGAAAGTGACAGTATAAAAGGAAATTTGTCTGTGATTCATTGTCAGTTACACTGTTTATACTATTCACACATGCTTGTCCTCATATACTGGGTTCCTGTATGTAATACTGTACAAAACCACTGTCCACAGACCACTGTACGAGGAACCATCGTTCTGCTAAATCCTACAGTCTCGCAGGACCTGTCAACAATCTACAAACCTAAGACACAGACCACCCCAGGCAACTTTGAAATCAAAGAACAGCTAGGGAAAGGAGCAGAGGGACAAGTGCACAATGCATTTGACATTGAAAGCAAAGATGAGTTTGCTGTCAAAAAGGTAAAGAGCTTTTAATATTACATATATATATTTGTGTATAATATTCATGTTATTCATGCAAACTTGAGGTATTGATGTATTGAAGTGTTATGATAAATATGCTGGAAATTTAGATGCAACCCCCCCCCCCTCATTGAAAAGTATACAATGTTTAAATGGCTTTCAGCTTTTCACTCAATTTTGTCTACATTTACATCTTTTCCCAACCATGAACACTCCATGCTTGAGAGGAAAGCAGGAAATTCAAGATGATTATCCAACTCTGGTGGAATTCTCATAACCCTTAAACATACCCTACAGGTCTCATTTGAAAACCTACGTAAAGGAGCTGTTGGCGCTTTCCTGAAGCTTGCAGACAGCAAGCAGACCTGTAGACACTTTGGTTTGCTCTTGGATGAAAAAAATGACTGTGTGTATTTTCTGATGGAGAAAGTGAGAGGTAAAAATTGATAACAGTGTCATTTGAATAAGAGTGTAATTAACAGAACTGTACCATTAGTCACAGTGCATGACAGGCTGCTATTAAATTTATCCAAAGAAAGAATTGTGTTTCTTGCAAGACTTATTATAATTTCAAGACGGATTTTTACCTATATATATACATATAATACTAGTACTAGTAGTTACTTCCACAAATGACCCCACTGGCACAGATGCATAACTTAGCATCCAATTTTGGTATTATGATTCCATGCGCAATGTATGCTACTTAAGTTACCTTGCTTTTGTATTATTTAGTAACTTTTGTAACTTTATAAGTTACTTTTGTTGTTATTTGTATTAGTTTGAGTTTGATGTTTTTGTTTGGGGTCTTCCCCAGGCCCAGGGCTCATTGAAAAGCGCCCTACGGGTGATATGTATCCCCCTGGTTAAATAAATAAAAACAAACAAACAGACAATAAACTAAATGGACCAGCAGTGTACATTGTATTTATTTGAGGTCTAAAGAACTGATTTATTTCATACAACAAGAAAGGGAAGCTGCTTTTAAAATTTCTATAATTCCCATGTGCACACCACTTGTGCTTCAAATGTGTTTCCAATTCTGATTGCAGGACAGAGTCTGTGGGAATTCCTCAGAGGCCAAAATAGACGAATAGAGACACCGCTTGCTGTGGATTATACAATTGACATCCTGAAAGACCTGAAGGATATCTGTGACCGAGGGATGAGGCACTCAGATGTGTCAGGTAAAAACCCACTCATCTCTTGGCTTTTATTACCTCCATGAAAAATGGAGGTATTGTTTTTGGCGTGTCTGTCTGTATGTATGTATGTATGTATGTATGTCTGTGTGTCTGTGTTTCCGCAACTTTGTGGTCAGCATAACTTCAGAACGCCTTTATGGATTATGATGATATTTGGTATGTTGGTAAGTCTTAGGAAGACAAACGTCAAGGTCAAATATGGGCCTCCTGGTGGATGACCTTGGTACTGCAGCAGAACTTCCGGTTTTTGTATCTTTTGTCCTGAACATGCTATGGTCTTGATGTTTTAGTGACAGATTGCTTTTCCTGTCAGGAATAAGTGGTGTGAGTTTGGTCTCCCTAGCAGCTTGTTCTGGAACTGCAGGGCACTTTCTGGCGAAATGTTTAAAAGCCAATAAGTCCAGATAGGAACAACATATTTTCATAATTTTTGGTGTGTAGGTAGCTGAGAGAGAGATGTACATGATTAAATGCAAATTATGCAAATGAGGACTTTATTTGCATAATTAATGATGAAATTCTATAATTACAGTGTTTTACATTATACTACTTTCATACATGTAATGTATGTAACCTATGGCAGGCAGAACATCAACAGATACTAATTATGCAAATGATGACCTAATTTGCATAATTTATGCATACATTCTATGATTTCTTAATGGTGAATGATGGGAATGTCATACTTGGGACATCTGTAAGTTAATCAAAAGTTCACATACATCACGATGCATATATCATGTTAATGCGGAGGTAATTTGCATAATTAAAGAGGAAATTTACATTTACATATCAAGCCCATATTTCATGGAGGTATGGAGTCTCGGAATTCTTGTTACTTTTGTTTTGTCAACAGAGTTATGTTTTTAGTAGTGCCTGTGTGTCACTGAGTGTGTCTATAATTGCACATAAACTCAAGGCTTTAAAAATGGATTGACAATGTCTTCATATTTGGTACATGTAGGTGGGTAGGTTTTGATGAGACCTTAAAATGACAAATCTTGCTTTATGGTACTGAAATGGAAGTTCCTGTTTTAATATCTAATTTGCATAATTAACAAGGAAATTTCATAAATCTCCTGTGGTCCATGATAGGATTACTCAAACTGTCAGTGACAAACTAGTTTAACTTCATTTTGGAAACTTTTAAGGTATGAGTTTAATTTGAGCAAGTCATCATTTAAAACATGTTACAGAAAAATTGAAAGAATACAGTAACTGTAAACTGTATAGTACTGTTAATAATTACCTCCATGAAAAATGGAGGTATTGTTTTTGGCGTGTCTGTCTGTGTGTCTGTGTTTCCGCACATTTGTAGTCAGCATAACTTCAGAATGCCTTTATGGATTATGATGATATTTGGTATGTTGGTAAGTCTTAGGAAGACAAAGGTCAAGGTCAAATATGGGCCTCCTGGTGGATGAACTTGGTACTGCAGCAGAACTTCTGGTTTTTGTAACTTTTGTCCTGAACAAGCTATGGTCTTGACTTTTTGGTGACAGATTGCTTATCCTGTCAGGAATAAGTGGTGTGAGTTTGGTCCCCCTAGCAGCTTGTTCAGGAACTGCAGGGCACTTTCTGGCAAAATCTTTAAAAGCCAATAAGTCCAGATAGGAACAACGTATTTTCATCATTTTTGGTGTGTAGGTAGCTGAGAAAGAGTTGTACATAATTAAATGCAAATTATGCAAATGGGGACTTAATTTGCATAATAAATGAGGAAATGCTATAATTACAGTGTTTTATATAAGGTTCCGGGTCGGAGTTTAATTCTGACCAGGGTTCCAAATAGTGCGCAGTAAATCGCCGGATCTGCGAGGTTGTCACGCTAGGTTTGGCTCCCCATAGCTCGGTGATCGCTGTAGATTTTCAACTAGGTTTTGAATTGATCAAAAAGCCTTGGGATTGTAGTGTTTTTCGGCGCGGTGAAGTTGGACGGCCAGCGAAGCGTTTTTGGTATTAGTCCGCGAGCAAGGGTGATGCGGTTTGTCGCCTGATGACCCAAATAGCTGCGTTCTATGTGGAATTTCTAGGGGTTCGCGTCACCGGATTTTGTGAAAAACTTATCGCAACAACCTATATTTTTTTTCTGTTTTTCAGAAACAGAAAGTAGTAAGCTATTTCAGCATATAAGCCGTTAGCCTGGGAAAATTCGTTTTTTCCAAGCAGGTCCGTTGAAAAAACTGCAAAAAAACTACATTTTTCGTATCCAAAATTTACGTTTAACTACAGTTTCTACCCAAATTATAGAGTCGACGGACAATAACCAAAATTGTATCGGAAGCCGGCTGGAAACCTCAGTTGACTGATGTAATGAGATTTCCCGGCGTACTTTTTTTGGCGGAGTTATAGCCCTTAAGCTTCGGTCTGAGGGTGTCCGCCGGATCCAAAATCGTGAAAAAAACTCCGGTCCGAGACCATAATAGTACTTTATACATGTTATCAATTTTATATGTGGCAGGTGGAACATCAACAGATATCAATTATGCAAATGATGACCTAATTTGCATAATCAATGTGAAAATTCTGTGACTCCTTATTGGTGAATGAGGGGACTTTTATTACCTTGTGACATGTGTTAGTTACTTAGGTTAACACCAATATGCATATATTATGTTAATGTGGTCATTTGCATACTTAGTGAGGACATGTTGAAATGAATTTTACACGAAAAATATTGTCATTTGAATTCAGAAAATCATGAATTAAACTAGATTATGCTAATTACAACCTTATTTCCATAGTCAATGAGACAAAAAAATCATTTACAAAAACTCATATATTTCATGGAGGTGTGAGATCTCCGAATTCTTGTTATACTTTTGTATTTTCAGCAAGAAATATAATGATTGATGGTCTTCATGCCTCACTAATTGACAAAACTGGAGCTAAAAAACAAGGGGCATTCAAGGACATGAGATGGGATGAGGCAGGGGCACTTGGCGTCCTGAATGACATGCTGATAAATGAGAACAGTACAACTCCCTTTGGTAAATCAACCAAGCTGTGGGAAGCTTCAGCAGATGATGAGGCTAAGTATGTAAGTGACTGTAGTGTTCTTTTTTTTTAAATCTGCATGCTTGAGATCTCAAAAGTGAATTTGTTTTCACAGTTGGTAGACATATAATATATTGCCCAATATTATAAGACATTGCCCAAACAAGTTGATCCTGATGTACATTTATTTAATAATATATATAAGACAACTCTACACCAAAGCTCTCCATGCCGAAAATTTAGTAATTGTACAACTGAGGTTAAACGCATACTGTTTAATTGTCCCACTGTTCTTCCATTTATTGCTCGCAGTTGTGGATCACACACAGTGTCGGTGTGCTTCAGCGTTTTAAGACAGCGTACCATGACGCACTTAAAATGCTGACGAATCAGCCTAGGTGGTGTAGTAACTAGTAACAGCTTGTATATGTGCTTCTTTATGTCTCGATACTTTCGACGCCAGATGGTGCAAACTGTCATATTCATTTGCTAAGCGCCTTCTGGCGTCGAGAAACAGTATTGTGCACACGCTTTGTCATTCGGATGTGTTTACAAGGAGCCTCTACTGGCAGCATTTTTTAGACATCTGTATGTGATTTGTGTATCTGTACTTGTTTTTGTATTGTCCCTGTTTTTATATGGGCCTCTGGCCTGAAGCAAAGAGTAAAACAAAATAAAATAAAATAAAATTACTTATTAAGTTAATAACTTTAATTTTTAATTTAATTTTTAATGTTAATGCTGTCTCTTGAAGGATTTATAAAATGAACAAAAATGTCATTCAGATTGATTCTTTGCTTGTAGTGTGCAACAGCTCTTGGGGAGTTAGAAGAGTTACTTAAGAAGGAGGCGGAGACTAAAATGTCACAGAGACGGAAAGCTGGTGAACTTCTTCCAGTCCTGCAGAAAATCTCAGAGGGCCTTAAAGGTAACAACTCCTCAGCTCCTGTTATCACTTTCATGAGTATGTCCTAGTGACATTTTTAGTAACAGTTTATAGAATAAGACCAAGAAATCTCAACAAGTGGCGTCTAAAGTTTAATGGTAAAATCAGTCAGCCCTAAAACCATTCTTTACTCAAGAATTAGAATCATAGTAACATAATTTATTTATTTATTTATTTTAGTATCATAAAGCCAAAGTTATGTCAATCAAAGCGCTTGCCAAACCTGCAGGGCAACACAAATACTATATGGGACATCATACAACATTGCACAATTTTGTCAGGTACTTTGACATGTTTTGAATCCAGAGGTTCGTTGAAAACGTCTGAATGATGAACAGATGGTGGTGTTCTTTGAGGCTCCACCAACATTCAGTGGATCAAATTCTTCACCCAATGCTAGACACATCTTAAGAAAGAAAGCTACATGTATATGGCAGCTTCATTTTATTCTAAATTATGCAAATGTGTCCTGATATGTTTTATGATCACCTTCACTCAACTTCCAAATGCTGCAAGAAATTCCTAGCAGTTATGGTATAATACCTGTCATTAATTATGCAAATAAGGTTTTCATAATATCTGCCACAGGGCTGTGTACCTACATGTATACGGATACAGAGGTTTAGGTACAGGGGGGGGGGTACAGGTGTGTACAGTAACTGCAGCCCTTGTTAACTCCATGAAAAATGGAGGACCTATTGTTTTTGGTGTGTCTGTGTGTCTGTGTGTAAATTTCATGGAGGTATGAGATCTCCGAATTCTTGTTCGCCAAATGAATGTTCCTCTTGTTCGCAATTAAATATCACAATTTTGAATAGTAACAATAATCAGGGAACTCATTTGATTCATGGAATTTCTTCAATAACTAACTAAACTATAATACAAATTAGACGCTGCACTTATGTTATGTCCCCAACGAATCCAAAGCAATACAAGCTTAATGTATTGTCCTACAGGTACAGCACAACTGGAGGGACTAAAGAAACAGATTGAACATCTGACTGAAGAGAAGGAAAAGTACCTCAAGGTATGTTGATTCAGAAGTGTCCTTGATTGGTTCACACCTAGTATAATGAATTGTGCTTCATTATTCATATAGTACTAACTATTAACAACTCTCAATTAACAAATCATTCTGCAAACCATTCAACAGCCATAATGCAAATCTACAGCTTAGATACAGTTTAAATCTACACTTTTTTGTAAAAAAATAATCACACCCACTTTTCCCTCAAAACATTACAGGAATCTATTTGAGTGCAAAGCCCTAAATTCATGCACACCAAAAATTTGATGACCTATAATTGAGTTGACTATACTGCTAGTCACACAGTCATGTAGTAACTGATTTTCTTATACCCCTTACCTTAACCTAATACCTACGAGTCCCTTGAACTTTTCTCTAGTTTCCTAAATTAAGCATCATTTTTTGTAAAAACAGTTTAATTAAGATATTTTACATTAACTATCAGGTTAACGTGAACATTTTATTTGTTTTAGGGCTTACGCGATGCAGAGGAAAGGTAAAACATTTTAAAACACCTTGTAGACTGTCACACAACTTAAGGTTTTACAAAGGTTTGACCTTTGGTATCACAATTTGTTCATGTATGTACAAGGTTTTAGGATGTGTGGTTGCAAATTTTATTATTATTATTCTAATTATTTTTATAACTACATACAGTATGTTCCAATATAAATAAGTCTTGGTCAATCCTATTTTCATCTTTCAATTTAGTCTGATCTTTGTCTCTGTTTTCCCTCTACTAACAATTCTCTATGTTTTCTTCCAAGTCCTCTCTGCAGACTTTAAGGGCAGGGAAAGTAAAAATGTGTATCAGATTAAAATTTCTTTCAAAAATATTGCCTGGAATGTACTTTGTCTAATCTGCTGCTTTAAAAAATCTTGTTGCCAAGGAACAAAGAGCTCCAAAACCACCAACATGCCATGTATGATGTGTTAAGAGAAAGAGACGAGCAACTTGCAAACCTTGAAGGTATTCTGAAGGTAGCAAGGGCATCAGAGAAAAAGGTATTATCATAGTTGTAAATGTTTCCTGTACATGTCTTTGATCATATTTCCCACCTCTGCCACTGAGCATCTACATGTAAGCACCAAGTACAATTTAAAATCATCTGTTTCAAAATATAACTTGGCTATAATAGCCCATAATCTTATTTATTATTTACATGTATGTACTGTCATGAACACTTCAGATTTCTTGCTGCCATTTGCTGCCCAAAATCCAATGTTTATGGTATAACAAGAGGATGGTTGAGCTTAATGTATTGCAAAAACAGTGCCTGAAAAAAATCTGGGGCTCTTTCTTACATGTATGTCCTAAGCCATGTGATGTACATACATGATGTATTCTGGATTTTTTCAATTTGCCTTAGTGGAAAGCACAAGCTCAGCATCTTGAGGCTGAGAATCAAGAAAAGATGATGATGTTGGACAGAGCAGAACAGGACAAAAAGAAGCTAAAGGATGAGCTGGATGCTCTCAAGGTAGGTTGGCTCAATCAAGGACATTATACAGTCCTTGGCTCAATGTTGATGATAATGACACTATATAATGTGCAAGGTGACGTCTACCAAGTTGACAGTCAAAATGTTTTGCCTTCAAATAAATAACAATGCATACTGTAAGAAATGTACACAATGTATGTATTAAGAGCAAGACAAGAGGGTATGTATCATATGTTGATCTTCTCAAATCTTCATCAGGCTAAGATGAAGAAGATGCAGGACGAGGATGCCAGGGCTGAGGAATGAACTGGAAGGTTAGGAGCTCTCGGAGTCATCAAGAATCCAACAAGAGAGAGAGAGAGAGCGCCGCTAGAGGCATGATTGAATCACTGACAGGCTGATGAAATGTTTCTGTCACACTATATATTAAGTGTATACGACTTCTGAGTCTGATTATGTCAGTCAAAGAAAGATCTTTGTATGTACAATGTATTATTACAATTTATTTATTATAGCAACCTTCCATGTCAAGGGTTGATTGTAGCACTCTGGTGTTATGGCCACAGGCATAGCATTTTGTGTGCATGCATGGCTAATCTCAATTTAATTCTTCCTTGGCAGTATGGTCGTTATGTTACGACAAAGGAAGGTGGAGATATTCCAGGATCAGTGTTTAACAAATGAACACATTTTGTACACGTTGTATCATGTTATATGATATCATTTTAATATACAGAGTTACTGTAATGGTTGTAGAGTAATAGATAATAGACAAAGGAATCCACTACATGACAATTATATGATCTGTCCTTAAAAAGGATGAGTAGAATGAAGTAACTTTATTATACAGACATCACATTTCCTGCCAAAGACTTGCACATTTGTACAAGCCTGTACAGCTGACTTACACAGCTCAAGGTCATGAATATGGATGATACAAAACAACATATAAATTCAAACTTGTATATGTTGTAGATATTGTGTATGACTTTTGTGTAAGTCTTTAAAATAGGTCAAAATGTGCAAAATGCCTGGCTTTCCAGCGCATCAGTCAGAATTAGGAATCATAGATCTGCAGAAGTGCCAGGGCTGAAAGAAACAGCAATAAAAACAATGATATCAAATGTGTTGAAATGACTGATGACAGAAGTGAATATTTGGTGTTCAACATACAATTTATAATGCATACAGACAAAGAGGAACAAACAAGAAACACAGAGGATATGATTTTCTTAAAACATATTGTTAGACATGAAACACATAAAAAACATACACCTAAACAGATGAACTTACAGGCAAGGCGGTGCAGTTCCATGCGTTCCTCAAGGTTGTCCTGTAGCCGTTCCATGAGTCTGTAGTACTTGAACAGGGTGTCTCTGGGCCACACTGTCTCATGGATGGCCTCAGACAGAACTGTCATGTTCTCCTGTACAATCCTGTCCCAATCTATAGCACAAACCCCACAGAGTTTGATAAGTTATCATAAGCATTTCTTCATGAGTCGGTAGTACTTTAAATAGTCTGTCTCATGGATGGCCTCAGACAAAACTGTCATGTTCTCCTGTACAATCCTGTCCCAATCTGCAACACAAAACCCACATACGAAATTATTCGCTTCGTTTTCGGCTCGGTACACACAGTCTAAATCAAAGCTTATTCACTCGTAATTTAGCTTCAAGTCCAGCTTGTTCGTGTGAAAACCCATGTGAAAACATTAGTCACTTTCTGTTATACTGCTATAACTGTTATATAACTATAGCAACTACAGCATGATACCCTTTTTGGCAACAAAAAACTGATAAGCTTTATTACTGACTTGGATGATCTTTCAGATGACATTCTAGTACACTTAATAACATTCAAATATTGCTACATGTACAAACATTTTTCTTAGAATCCAGTCGGTTTCAGTAGTGTTCACTTGTTTCATAAACAAATCAGACTAAAAGCTATCCGTGTATCATTTAAACTTAAATTTCTAACTACAACCCATCTATTTCTCCCTCCTTGGATCTGTTTAACAGTCTAGTTAAGCCAATTTTAATTTACTGTAGTGGAATGATATTATAGGACGAATGTTAGATGTAGGGTTTTAATTCTACATTTGTAAATTAATGGAATACAGGAATGCTCTAATGAAACATCAGGAAAACTGTATGTAACGTCCTGTCTCCGATATTAGGACAATAATATTATCTTAAACTTGCTCTTACTGGGAAGAAATCCGATATGATAACAAGTCGTCATGTTCTAGTTCGCTTCAAGAAGCATAATGATAAGTTACAAGTTTTATACAATTCAAAAACTATAGCTAATAGAAATATCTCACTAGATCAACCTAATACGTCATATGAGATATCTGACTTGAAATGTTCTTCTTGACTACTGTAAAATATTACTCTGTGTTCAAAAAAGTTCTGTAAATAATGCCGCCGTTAGAGGCTCAAACACAACTTATTAAAACAAAATATATTAGGCTTAGATTGCATAACCTACCTTATGATAGAATTGCCAAGACAGCGTATGGAACTGCTGTAGAACAAGAACTAGAATGGATTGTTCATGTTTATAAACATGAACAATCCAGTCTATCTTAAAAGATATTTAGTCCAGACATGGTTTCCGTACTATTTGGTTGAACCCTGCTATTTATGTCAAACACTTTGGTAACATATTGAAGAAACGTTTAACGTTTGAAAGACAAATTTCTATCTGGTTGGCGATCAATGCTTCGCCCACATTACTTGGAAACTTTTGCCGGGAAGATTAGACTGGGTGCATGTTGCCAAGGCCAGTAAACAGGTTAGCTCATTGGCTCTGGGGCTAACATGGCCCCAAGGTCACTGTACTGGCTCACAGTACTGCTGGCTTGCAGCAGTTCAGTAGCAGTGGAGTCCATCCGTGAACGCTTTGTCTCCGCTTCGTTCCCTGCTCTGTCGTGCTGGCATTCACGGTACAACAAATCATCTGTCAAAAAATGAGCTTTAAGCAACCCGGGCCGGTAGAATAGCCTTATACCTCGCCCGCGGGATGGTGCGGCCAGCCCAGACGTCAACAAACCTAATTAGTATCAAGGTTGCCTGAGGGATCAAACGTTCGGGGCTACTCAATAACAATGTTGTGTGTGGTAATATGCGACATTAACTTGTACAAAGGTTACCGTATGATGAGATATTAAACAGGTGGGAAGATTCACTTAAAAATGTAAAAAAAAATGAGCGCAATGTATAAGTTATAGATCAAACATGCACCCTTAAAAAGTGCAAGACTTAGTATGGATTGTCCCAAACAAAAAGTCAAACACACCTACATGCCTACGTAACAGGTCAAAGGTAACAGGTAACGAATAGCGGACGAGACCCCTGTCGCGTGACTTATTCCTGTACCTGTGTTAAGCGCGTAAATTCAAACAAAACGGAAGTAGGTTTGTTCCGTGTGAAGATTTTCTCTACAAATTCTCATTTTTCGGACGAATCGGACAGACCCAAACGACGACGGGACAATTTGGGTTTTTAGAAATCCCCAGGACAGTTTGGGCCTGACATTCGCGGCTGTGGAGGTGCTGCTGTCGGTGTACAAGTCTGTGGTGGACCGAGGAAAATTGGTAACTTGCAATTAGATAACAGGTCAGGTTGATATAATTTTTGTAGGATTCATACAGCAATTTGACTCCAACTATCTTGGATTTAAAGCATTTCATAACTGAGTTTGAAGACGCTTAGGACAGGTGTGATCGAGTGGGAAAACGTGAACTGCCCCAAACAAACACTGAAACAAAAACATGGAAGAAGAAAAACTGCGGGTGGACCGGTACTCCCGTGAGACCAAAATGGCGTCCGACAAACATGGGGACCAAAATCCAACTATCGACACACCTTCAGAGGCAGACTCTGGTCGTGGAACATCAGTTGCTGACGCCGCGACACCCGACAGAGAAGCCCGCATGCCGATAGAAGAATCTTCGCTCCCAAAAGGCCCCAACACCGAGTTCGCCATAAAACAGGAATCAGAGGGAAGCCGTCCCCTTCTGTATAAACATCTTCGTCATGATGGTGAACCGACAGCAACTGGGGATCAGCAACAGAATTTCGAGGGAGGAGACACTTTGTCTAGGTTCCACTTGGAAGAACTACTGCCTGGTAACCAAGTTCTACAGGCAGCCTCCTCTGTGCCACAAAAGGGCGCCGATTCAGTTACAGCCGCAGGGAAGACGTCCCGAAAGAGGTGTTGGAAGAAACGAAGAAGAGGGGAGAAGGAAAGTCAGCTCCTGTAAGAGTATTTTGGTCTACCGTGTCCAATCATCTCCGCGAGTTCGAAGAAGTTGGGGATTGTAACCTCCTTCCCCTCCAGAATGGAGTTCTCATCACGAGCTCAGAAGTAACCTCCCAGGACCTAACAGGACCCACAGTTCAACTTAAATTTGAGGTATGTGCCAACTGCCGTTCGCCGCTGTCTATTAATTCTATATATCCCCTCCAGCAATAGTTTTCTCAATCTATAGGGAAGATGACACACTGATTTGAATGGTTTGCGATCTGAACCTGTGACGTGTTCTCAGTAACAAATCATGGTGTTTCTATGTCTACTGTGTAAAGGAGGCCTAAGTTACATAATGATGTTAATTTCTCCCAAAGTACATGCATGTAAATATGAAATGACCATCTTAAAAATTAAGGTAGAAAAGCAGGAATTTCTTGTCATCTTAACCAACTAATTGCCTTGATATATGTCTTATCATTTAGGAGAGTAGGCGAGGCACTGTCCTGTTATATGCTGCAGTGTCCCAAGATAAGGCCATTAGCTATGGGCCATCAGCAAGTAATCAGGATGGGAAATTCATGACGCTCACAAAGCTAGGTGAAGGTTCGGAGGGTGAAGTGTACATTGCCATCGATCTAAAAGACAAGAATTTGTTTGCAGTCAAAAAAGTGAGTAAAGGACTTAATAGCATGTGGATATATACTAAGGTCGTGTTGATGTGATTATATGGATGACATCCTCTGGAAACCCCAAAATTGATGCGAGCGTGTGAATAAAAAATGTTTGACAAAAAAATTGCCTTCATTATGAAATCTAGGTGGTCATGAAGGTTGTTGAACAAATGACTAAACACACAGAGTAATATCTTATTAACATGGTAAATAATAGACTTCATTTTCATTCCTTCACATTTTCTTCTTGTCCATTGGAATGGAATTTTTTCAATATACAGCATATATTTGCTCATTTTGCAGCTACTTTGTACGATTGACAGTATGGTCGAAAAATTTTTTTTGAAACGGATGAAAATTTATGTGCACGCGGATGTCATCCATAATTTATCAAATCCACATGGCCTGAAAGGAATATCAATGGACAAATTGCATTTTTCTTGGTTGCAAAAGGATGTTTGGAATACATTTTGCAATGGCTTGTTCTGACTCATATTTAGTTTGATAACTAGATAGATCATGTATGATTTTAAAGAATAATACATCTATTTAGTAGTAATACACAAACAAACAAGCAAACACAATTTATATGTCTTTCTACATGTAAGCTCTCTCTATATATATATTCAAGATGGTGACAAAAAATGTTTCAGGTGTCACTACAGAAATTTGGCAAAACAAATCCAGCAGCCTTCCTGCAGCTGACCGACTGTCCTCAGGTCTGCAAGCCGTTTGGCCTCATCCTGGATGAGGAAGGGGAATGTGTGTATTTCCTCATGGAGAGACTGCGAGGTAAATTATTATGTTAACCGAAGGAAAACATATTGTTTTTACTACGTTTCTTCCTCTTCTTCTGTTCCAAACACTAACCTCTGACCTGACCAATGACATGATTTGTTGACGTCTGGACCATGGTGACTGGTGTTAGGTTACATAATGTTGCAATTTCATGGTCTGCTCTACTCCTTTCACCATATACTCGTAGTACATGTATGTAAATGTGTTTGAGTAAAAATTAACAGGGCAGACCATGTCCGAAGGTAAAGATTATGCATTTGCTTTGCAAAGGTTACTTCTCTAGTTTTTTTTCTGCATTCAAATTCGCAATGAACAGTTTTAGCTACATTCCCTATACCCATTTATCATTTTTTGTATAAAAAACAGGAACACCTATTAGATACTTGCCATTTCTGAGTGCATTTGTAACACTGATTTTTTTTCTAGTTTTACTTACCTTGACTTTGCAAAATCTTACATAATATTATGAAATCAGCAATTAATTAACTCATGATTTACTGATCTTGTAGTATTCTCCATGGGAGTGTGTAGAAGTTGAATTCCCAGAGTTTATCTACTGCTCTCTTTTTATATAGATATTGTTACAAGATCATACCAGACCATTACAGTCATGATAAGAGGCTTCAATGCTTTCTGCATGTTTAAACCAAATTTAGTCTTCTATTCAGTAAGAAATTTGCCTTTTCAGGAAAGACTCTGAAGCTTTTGCTGAACAGTGGAGATGAGATACCCATAACCACAGCAGTTGGTATCTGTATTGAGATCATGAAAGCACTGTCATACATACACAGCAAAGGAATGGTGCATCGTGATGTGAAAGGTAGAGGACCTGATTTGCATAATTTATGAGAAAATGCTAGAATTGCATTGTTTGTTAATATAAGACACTGTCTTTTGGTTGAGAATATGATAAAATGATATAATTAATGAAAATGAGGATCCTATCTGTTAAATCAGGGGGGAATAATCAATAATTTGTCAGTCATAAAGATTGACATCATTTGCCAAAGGTATGAGATTGGGGAACTCTAGTTTATTTTGTGCTCCATGATTGTGTATGATGTTGGTTATAATGAGTGAGTGATTGTGTATGTGTTACTGTAACACTAGCTAGGGTGCCATCCTATTTGTATGCCAGGGCCCCCATACTCCCCCTAAGAAATATTTATTGTGGGGGGGGTATGGGGGCCCCGGCATACAAATAGGCCCAGGCTACTGTAAAACTAGTTTCCAGACAAAAATTAAAAACGAATTCAGAGTAATGTCATTGCTTAAGACTGTAGTAAGTTGCAGTGCACTGCAATCTTTGCTGAACTTGTCTGTTTCAGAAGACAATGTGATGAGTAAAGGCACAAATGCCACGGTGCTTGACATTACGGGTGTCAGGAAGGCTGATAAGTACAGCCAGTTTGCCCAAGACACAGTGATGGCAGTCAATCTCCTGAATGAGATGCTTCTGCCCCCTGACTCTAGATCTGAGGGGGCTGTTTGGACACCCTCAGACGAAGACCAAAAAAAATACGTAAGTACAAACCTGTACAAGACAGCCTGAATGCCACATTGGTTGGGATTAGCAACTTGACCTGTAATTTGAGCTATTGGGCATCCAGGCTAGTAAGAGCTTTTATGTAGGGAATTCTAAAGTGCAGTTCAATATCCAAGATCTCCAGTAGTGCTGTTTTTGTTTATGTAGGAAGCTGTAAGTACTTTAGACAATTGCCTTAACTCACACTGCTGCAATTATTATGCTATTTTTATGTACGAGATAAGGCACATTGATATCACACATCTCATGAGCAATTACTTATTTTAGCCCAAGGAAGCTCTTCAAGATTTGAAAAAGATCATGGAGATACAAATGAAAGCGGTCCCTTCAATGGATCATGCTACAGTGGAGAAACTCCTGGAGGATCTACAGTCAATTTCACGGAGACTCAGTGGTGAAACCTGGTTTATTTTACGTTTATACTAATCATTACTAATCACAATTCATATTTACATGTACCTGTATACTAATCACAATTCATGTCAACTCCTAAAGAAAATACCATCCTCATAGTCGGGTAGTCGGAAGACCAGGTATTCATAAAAAAGAAGCTACGCTTACTTAGTGGTTTATGAGGTGGTTTTCCCCCATGACCAGGTATTATATAACACAGATTTTATTTCTGTACTTAAAGGGGCAACAAATGTTGCTCAGTACCAGGGAGCTACATGTAGTAGCAGTGATGCGGATCCTGCACAAGGCATGACTCAACAGGGAAGCACTTCATCTTCTTTTGACAGCAAGGGTATACCGTCGCCTTTTTTTGATAAAGGTGAAAAAATTCAGTACTTCTATTACATTACTAAAACACTATTAATTCTGGCTCTTTGTTTGGTTTATTTGTTCCTGGTACAGCATATTTTATATAATGTCATAAAAGGTAACTGAAATCTTTAATTTGCCATGCCTTACACTGCAGTATCATTATATTGAATGAATGAATTGAATATATTGAATTATATGTTCTGAATGGCACATATTATTGTCAGAAAATATTGTAATGCAAACAACTGTAACTGTATGTCTACTTTGGACATTACCTACATGTAGTCTCACTGGTTACCAAACATATTTAATCTTTCTTCCTCTCTGCAGCTGAAATTGGCTTGGTAACCTATGTGATTAGCTATGTGTGTATTGAAGCTTGTTGATTTGTACATCATAAATCTAGATGAGCTGATGAAAAAGATGGAAGCACTCCAGGCAGAAAAGGATAACTGCAGCAGGGTATGTTATCACTCTCTTTTAGGATATTGACAGTGCTATAAAAGTATAAGCTTAAAATGTATGCCCTAGGTTTTGAGTCATGTTCATGTTTACATTTAGTATAATAGTATATAAAGGTTACAATACTGACCCTGATGATGAATTGTTGGTTATAGCTCAAGTGAGGGATTATCATATCAGGTGCTGGAGAAAATTGGCGATGAATGCCATCTCTGTTTAAGATAATTAGGGCACTACAAGTCTGTTTTTCTTCAATAACAAGAAACAACTGTTTTCTTTTCAATGTTTCAGGAATTGGTTGAGGCACAGAAGAAGATAAAGGACCAGGAAGAGCAGTATGTTTTTGGTGCATTTATCATGCTTTGTTATAAAGAAGAGTTTAAAAAAATGTAACTGAAGGTAGATGTAACAAGATTTAAATGTAACAAGATTTAAGAAATGTAAATTAGTACTACTGTGGGGCTACAGTGTATTCAATCAAAGTGCTCATACACTTTGATAATTATTCCTGAGAAGGATCCTCCAATGCTTTAAATATTTGCATGACATCATGTTAAACTTTTACTAATATATCAAATTCTGTTTCATAACTTTAAAATGTTCATACCCCGTTCCTTCCTATATAGAATGCAACAGATGGAGAAAGAACACAAGGATGATTTCACTCGTGTGAACAAGAAAAGGATGGAAGTATGTGATGATTGCCCATAATTCATATTGTGTTTTAATGTCAATAATGTGCAATTCTGCCTTCATATCAAATGATAAGTAATATTATATTACTAAATATAATATAATATTATATTTCAATTGGGTACCCATACAAGTTAAATGACTAAATAGTATCCCACTGGCCAGATCTTTGGGTACAAGATAAGATGAAAGATTATCTATCCAATAATCTATACATTATATCATTATATATAAATTAGTACAATGTAGTTATTGTTCTTGATCCATCTTGAATAAGCATCTAATTTGAAGTCTTTTCCTTTTACCTTCTCTTTCAGTTAAAATTAAAAGTCAAACTCCTTCAAGATGAGAGGCTGATGACTGAGCTGGAAAACTTGAAGGTTTGTGAGTTGCAAATTAAGTAGCCCATTCAAAACATTTTTGATACCATATGATAATGGTAGCCTTCACAGATCTTCATTCACAGAGCCTGTGAAGAAGCCAAAAGCCCTTAATGATTGTTGATAAATTATCAGAAAAACTGTAATGGATACTATTCAATTAGCCACAGAAATTCTTTATTCATCAGGCTGTGCTGAAGAAGGAGAGGGAAGGGAGAATGGAAAACTTTGAGTTCTGAGTTCTATGACAATCATAAATCAATCATCAGAATTATTTTCAGAGACAGCCTTTTGGTGGTTTGTGATCTTTCAGTGCTTTTCTGAAAGTTAATGTTAATTGTATACCTGTCTAAATTTTTCCAACAAAAAGATATCAATATATTGAACATTACATGTTAAATTCAAAAGTGGACTTCCAGCTACTCAGGATTGGTAATAGTTGCTATTTGTACAATTATTATTCTTAATGTACTGTCATAAACACTTCTGAATCAGATTTCTTGCTGCCATTTGCTGCCCAAAATCCAATGTTTATGGTATAACAAGAGGATGGTTGAGCTTGATGTATTGCAAAAAGAGTGCCTGAAAAAAAATCTGGGGCTCTTTCTTACATGTATGTCCTAAGCCATGTGATGTACATATTCTGGATTTTTTCAATTTGCCTTAGTGGAAAGCACAAGCTCAGCACCTTGAGGTTGAGAATCAAGAAATGATGATGGAGTTGGACATGTTATTACTAAAGGACAAAAAGCTAAAGGATGAGCTGGATGCTCTCAAGGTAGGTTGGCTCAATCAATGACATTATACAGTCCTTGGCTCAATGTTGATGATAATGACACTATATAATGTGCAAGGTGACGTCTACCAAGTTGACAGTCAAAATGTTTTGCCTTCAAATAAATAACAATGCATACTGTAAGAAATGTACACAATGTATGTATTGAGAGCAAGACAAGAGGGTAATGTATATATCATATGTTGAGCTTCTCAAATCTTCATCAGGCTAAGATGAAGAAGATGCAGGACGAGGATGCCAGGGCTGAGGAATGAACTGGAAGGTTAGGAGCTCTCGGAGTCATCAAGAATCCAACAAGAGAGAGAGAGAGAGCGCCGCTAGAGGCATGATTGAATCACTGACAGGCTGATGAAATGTTTCTGTCACACTATATATTAAGTGTATACGACTTCTGAGTCTGATTATGTCAGTTAAAGAAAGATCTTTGTATGTACAATGTATTATTATTACAATTTATTTATTATAGCAACCTTCCATGTCAAGGGTTGATTGTAGCACTCTGGTGTTATGGCCATGGGCACAGCATCTTGTGTGCAATGCATGGCTAATCTCAATTTAATTCTTCCTTTAAGTTGGCAGTATGGTCGTTATGTTATGACAAAGGAAGGTGGAGATATCCCAGGATCAGTGTTCAACAAATGAATACATTTTGTACACATTGTATGATGTTAGATGATATCATTTTAATATACAGAGTAATGGTTGTAGAGTATTAGATAATAGACAAAGGAATCCACTACATGACAATAATATGATCTGTCCTTAAAAAGGATGAGTAGAATGAAGTAACTTTATTATACAGTCATGACATTCCCTGCCAAAGACTTGCACATTTGTACAAGCCTGTACTGCCTGGCTTACACAGCTCAAGGTCATGAATATGGATGATACAAAACAACATATAAATTCAAACTTGTATATGTTGTACAGTAGATATTGTGTATGACTTTTGTGTAAGTCTTTAAAATAGGTCAAAATGTGCAAAATGCCTGGCTTTCCAGCGCATCAGTCAGAATTAGGAATCATAGATCTGCAGAAGTGCCAGGGCTGAAAGAAACAGCAATAAAAACAATCATATCAATTGTCTTTAAATGACTGAAGTGAATATTTGGTGTTCAACATACAATTTATAATGCATACAGACAAAGAGGACCAAACAAGAAACACAGAGGATATGATTTTCTTAAAACATATTGTTAGATATGAAACACATAAAAAACACACACCAGACAGTTAAACTTACAGGCCAGACGGTGCAGCTCCATACGTTCCTCCAGGTTGTCCTGTAGCCGTTCCATGAGTCTGTAGTACTTGAACAGGGTGTCTCTGGGCCACACTGTCTCATGGATGGCCTCAGACAGGACTGTCATGTTCTCCTGTACAATCCTGTCCCAATCTACAACACAAAACCCACAAACTACATTAATTATGACACTAAGCATCTCTCCATGAGTCTGTAGTACTTGAACAGGGTGTCCCTGGGCCACACTGTCTCATGGATGGCCTCAGACAGAACTGTCATGTTCTCCTGTACAATCCTGTCCCAATCTAAAGCACAAACCCACAGGTTTCAATAAGAAATTATTATACTAGCTAATTATAAGCCCAAGCATCTCTCCATAAGTCGGTAATACGTACTTATACAGGGTGTCTGTGAGCCAGACTGCCTTTGGAAAAATGGATTTTGACCTACACCGTAGGTGCCTTTCTCTGTAAACATCAGCGCATTACCAAGTGAATTCTTCATATTGGCCTGTTTTTTTTTTTTTCAAAGAAAGTTGGTCAGTGCAAGGCTTTTAAAGACAACTTCTTAGGCACTGAACTACTGGGGTTACTAGAACAGCATCTCTTCTTTCTACATGTACATTTGTAAGTCCGAAATATTAATGCTTGAGACAATCCAAATTCACAGAGACCTACGAAAAAGCACTGGGTTACATTACGTAAAGGCTACTCAGGAGTATTCCCTGGTACCCAATACCCTCTCACACTGGGATGGACTTTGTCATTGTCTTAGCATTGTGGGTCCTTTAAAAACATGCTTGAGGTGTGCATGGCTCTCCTCAAACACAGGTATTTGTTGCAGCCTGTCCTTACCTGCATCAGCCTTCTCAGCCTCCAGGAGATGGTCACTGATGTTCCGCTGGACGCTCGCTGTATCCTGGTCCATGAAACTGCCAGGGGGACACAAGGGATTTCCATGTCATGAGCTACGTTACTGTGGACAATAATACTGTAACAACAGTCTACATTTGTACTGCATTAAAACATGAAAAATCAGGATAAAAATGCATCTCCTACAAATGACGAACAAATAAAGTTAACAGTGAAATTCCTTAATTTTTGTAGGGACAGTGATAAGGAGGAAACTAATGTTGCTGACTGCTTTGTAATGTACATTTGATAAAGATGTACGATACAAAGTTAACTTGTCAAGCTATATAGTTATACATGTATAACATTGTATGGAGTTTTGTGGAAGTATTCAGCACCAAGGACAGGTATGTTAACTTTTGTGTTGAAGGAAGTCAGCACCAAGTACAGGTATCTTAAGTTTTATAAACAAATTAAATGTGGGATTTGATTTTCATTAAGCTTTCTATGGCCATCTAGGGACACTTAAAAAAACTTGTCACAGATCTTCTGGTAAAAATAATTATTATTAGTGATAACAACTGAACTTTGATTTCCCTTACCTGACAGCACTCTTAGAGGGCTTTCCTGTGTCCTCTGGACCAGCACTGAAGGGAAAAAAGTTGAATAAAAGTTTTCATTTAATGAAAATGTACACTGTAAATGTAACAGTACAACCTTGACTCAGGTTTATTGTGAATGGCACCAAGTACAAGTTACAACGCAATATCAATTCATGCATGTAGGACATCATGTAGCTGTATATGGATTTTTATTTGCTGCATTGACTGTTACTATATATAATAATAATATTAACTAGAACTAAAAAATGGCAATGGTTTTAATGAATAGTTCTTAGTATGATGCATACTGAGTGGCACAGGTAGAATTACATGTAGTCTGGTGCAGGTAATTTTCAATGTTACCTGCACCAGTACAGGAAAAAGTATTTTGAGCCGTGAGGTATTGAGAACTATAAGTTATAAAAAGTGCAAGTTACCAAAGTCAACTGTTGATGCACAAGAAATAGTAAAGGTACATAATTATACTGATTCAATGTATCTTGTATGAGATATTTGAGGAAACATAACATAACAAGGTTTATATTCATGGCACAGAATTAAGTTCCTGATATATTTCGTCTTTGCCAGAATAAAACATAATTCCTTAAAGAAGACATGATCTTACTTGAGAAATGACCCTGTCAGAGGCACCGTCTCAGTGATGACTGTTGTCTCCAAAACCTCTTCAGTACTTTTAGCCCCCTTTACTCCACTGAAACAAAGATAATTAGTTTAAATCACATCCATGTAGCAACAATTAACCATTCAGCAAAGGAGAGATTGATCAGGGTCAAAGATTAAAGATAAGGATTAAAGATTAGGACAGATTAGGAAAATGGAAAACAAGAGTATACAAAAAAGTATACTTTCTAGAGCTGTATGTGTACCTAATACCTGTACATGTCACCGCAACACTATTGGGCACTAGTGATGCATACCTAAACTCAACTTTAGGTTCAGGTCCGGATTCAAGTCGAGAGGTTTAGGTTCAGTTCTGGACTTGTAAGTCCAGACCTAAACCCATGGCATATACAAAATTGCATGTTGGTAACCTTGCAATGTTGTCTGGGTGAAACTTTGGCCACATAAAATGGAGGCCGGTACTTGACGATGCCAGATGGCAATGTTTTCTTCATTTTGCAGCAAAGATTTTGCAATCTATGGAAGGTTTTAGGTGGTTTGGAAAGAAAAGGGGTATGTGAAATGGTCTTTTATGGTAATAAGTCTGGACTCGGTTCTTGACTTTTAGGTTTTTTTGGACTTGAACCTAAACATTCTTACAAGCCCGGATCCAAGTCCAGTGAACCGGTATGCATCACTATTGGGCACCATTTTTACATTAATTATAAATAAGCTGCATCTCAAAGATTTGTTTGTTTATTTGTTCATCTGATGGATCTCAATTAGTGAGTAATAGATTACATACTGCACTATTCTAAAGGTTACAAAATCATATCATTACAAAGTTAATCTAATTAATACATTGAACATATTACATACACTTATCATAACACTCAGAATACTTATAACCTGTAACTGTGTATTCTTAACCAGACTATATACAACAATGATTGTAAAGTGGGAAAAAAAAATGACATTTTATTTAGGTAATTCTAATAGGTACAGCTCTATTATATAGCTCTTTTATACTATATAGAAATTTTCCTTACTGTACATGTATATTAGGTAATTGTAAAGAAAAGATAACATTCAGCAGTGATAAGTAAGTGAAAGCCAACCTCTCTTCTAGTCCACTCAGCAGGCTCTGACGGCTCTCACGTCTGTATAGATATATTGAAAATTTTAGGAAGTTATCATTTTCAAAACATACATTTCTGTTTTTTCTTCATTAGGCCACACCAATTTAATTTGTTATTTCTCAGATTTTTTAAGAAAAAATATGCAGCGAAAGGGTGAAATAAAAAAAACAAAACAGGCCAAGGTACATGTACCTCATAATAGCCAGAAATTTACAATATGAGCCATGAAGTGAACATACCAGGCTGATTTATGATTAAAACAATAGACTTTGGACTTTTAATGAAACAAAATTGCTTTGTTACATTGAAAAACATTAACTAGGACTTTCTTTAACCATTGGGGCAAAAATACAATTGTCTTTCATTGAGCATGTTGCAGTTATTTATTTTTTTTGTAAATCAGAAAACAATGGACAGGGTGAATCCGAGAAACAACAAATTAAATTGGTGTGGCCTTATATATAGTTACATAATTATATACATGTATATAGAGCTGCATCAGATTGCTTTCATTTCACAATCATATAACGAATGCTCTTGCATAAAAGTAGTTTAAGTGTTTAAACTTCATACTAAATTCTAGAAGGACTTTGACCTGTTGGAGAGCTCGTTCTTGAGTTTCTCCTCCATCTCTGCCACCTGAATGGCGCGCTCGTACTGCTGAACCTCTACTACTAGGTCATTACGGATGTTCTGGAAGTTGTTCACTGGTGATTATGAAAACAAGAACAAGAAGCCATAGGTGACAATTCTCCGTGAAGTATTATATATTGCAACAAAAAGAAGTAGCCATTGGCGACAATTCTCTGTGAAGAAAATAAATCGAACAAAGAAAAATTGTTTAAACGCGCGTCGGCTCAGTCATCTTAAGTCGCAACAACCAATCAGAGATGCGAAATGCCGACACGTGACGCGGGATTTGGGGAAGGGCGCGCGATGCCCGAAATATTTTTGCGTCAATATTCAGCGCCGTGTTTCAAGAGATTAATACCGAGAAACAAATTCTTTTCTTGTTTTGAACGCATAAACATGCATTTACGCTAATCTAGTATGATTCAGGGTTACTTTTTTTTACCTGCCATGGCCAGATTATCTAAAGATGTGTGTATTGTGTGTACAATCTACAGAAAGAGAAATGTACATCAGGTCCGATCATCCGATTTTCACGTTTCGGTTTGTTGGACTCGGTTCATGAACGTATTTTGGTTTGGCTCCTGGAATGTGCGAAAAATGACTCCCGGGACTGTCTACAGGGAACACTCGCACATTCGCGGTGTATCAGGACAGCGCGACTGGTCGGCATTAGCGCAGTCCCTGCAATTAGTAACAGTTGCACATCAATCCGGCCGAAAGCATGATTGTGTAACACAGGCTACTTCTTCATATACCGGCTCATACTACACGACGCCTTTACAACTAGCAAATCATAAAATTACCCGATCTACTAGTACGGTATGTGCGGTTTACCAGCCCCAGACCACATCTGACCACGAGGCAGAACACATTGATGGGTTGCTCAAAAATATTGTCCATGTTTACAAAGAGCTGCTCCACTAACACTATGGAGCGGCCCAACCCAAAAATATTGGCCATGTGTCGTTGCTAGGACGACCGGCCAGTTGCTACGTGACTAAATACACGCCGCCACTAGGCCGCCACACCCGACCAGTTTGAAATCGATAGGATTACGTTATCGGTATTAACATTTCCTAATGTTGACCATCAGCCCCGCCGCGACTTACTACCGGTGACATAAACGGACGACAACATATCAACGGCATGGGGATGTTTCGAAAATAACCATTTACTCCAATATCAAAACAGCTACGGTAAAAATAAAAAGACGTGCATCATCCCGGACATAATGCAACACCACATGCGAAATTACACAGAAATGCGACGTACGGAAGAATGCGTTTTGGCTGCGAACATCTTCCAAAAAACTTGGCATCTCTTAACCATGGGCAAAAACATCTGGAACCACTTATCAAAACCACCCCGTATCTGCATGAACTTTTACCCCCCCCCACTGCTATTCCAAACAACGCGTTTTTCTGGACCATTCCAATTCGCCTCGTAATTGTAGGGGTGCGTCTGCTATATTACATTGACCGCGAAAGCAGCAACGGCAAAAATACACATTCGTGCATCAACACGGGCATGCCCGCAGACGGCGTATAAAATTGCGTGCCGATTACACAAAGAGAACCCAGTGTTTTGACTGCGAACATGAAAAATCAGCCGATCACAACACTCCGTCCGGAGGTCCTGACCTCCTTCACGGAGTAACAAGCAGGCGGTCAGAATCAATCTGAAAGTTGATCTGTATCAGTCAACATCACAATTTAGAGTTTATTTGACATCAAATACAATGACAGTAACATTTTTTTGCCTTTGTATCTAGGACAAATAAAATACTGTTCTTTTATGTCGGTGAAGGTTAGACTGTTCTTTTACTGAGACACTTCTCATGCTTCTTATGCTTATCAATAAGTAGTATGGAAATTTTCCTTACACTTGAGTATAAACGGTATTTAATCTAATAGTAAGTGCCAAAAGAGGACAAAGCATCACGTCACAATAGTGTTATATGTACAAACATAAGGGAATACCATCAAATTTGCCCAAGCAACCACCTCTATAAGCTGGTCATCTGGCCATAATGACCACTTTTTCACAGTTATGATTTCCCCCCATAGATGTAAGCCTAAGCCGACCACTTGTCCAACGTGACTGGACCAGCACTGACTTGGAACTGTGCATGGCCCAATCTCTGCCTATGACCGCTTCAGTTTCAAGTGTGAGGCAGAAAACATTTTTTATGATAACTGAGAAATTATGACATTTGTAATTGATTTTGACAGCATAACAGTCTTTGCCGAATGTAAAAAGGTGGAAATTTTGCTACATTTTCTGTCGTCATACTCTTTACTTTAAGAAGACATCACTACTAAGTCTTGTCTAAGAAGACCATGGTTCTGTAGGTGGTCAACTTAGACAAGTTTGACTGTAACCTACAACACGACCTACCCATGATGCCCACAAAGATGTTGCGGAAGATGAAGGATCCGATGAAGATCCAGAGGATGACGTAGAAGCCGGACAGGACGGGGTTGGCCACCTTCACCAGGTCCATCAGCAGCTCGTGCCAGTGATCCAACGTGAACAGCTGGATCAACGTGATGAACGCGTTCTGGATTGAACTGGGATTCAAAGAAAAGGACACTTCTATTAATGTCTTAAAGAAGGACCAAAGGATCAATGGTATGCATCACAAAAGTCAGACAGGATGCCAGTGATCCAACGTGAACAGCTGGATCAACGTGATCATGAACGCGTTCTGGATCGAACTGGGATTCCAAAAAAAGCACACTCTTCTATAAAATGACTTGAAGAAGGACCAAAGGATCGGTGGTACAAATGTATGCATCACAAAAGTCAGACAGGATGCCAGTGATCCAGTGTGAACAGCTGGATCAACGTGATGAACGCGTTCTGGATCGAACTGGGATTCCAAGAAAAGGACAATTCTATTAATGTCTTAAAGAAGGACAAAAGGATTGATGGTATGCATCACAAAAGTCAGAAAGGATCCCAGTGATCCAGCTGGATCAACGTGATGAATGCGTTCTGGATCGAACTGGAATTCCAAGAAAAGGACACTTCTATTGATGTCTTAAAGAAGGACAAAAGGATTGATGGTATGCATCACAAAAGTCAGAAAGGATCCCAGTGATCATGCATGAACAGATGGATCAACGTGATGAACGCATTCTGGATCGAACTGGGATTCAAAGAGGAGGTCACTTCAGATCTATAAAATGTCTTGAAGAAGGAACAGAGGATTGATGAATATGCATGACAAAAGTCAGACAGGATCCCAGTGATCCAGTGTGAACAGCTGGATCAACAGGATGAACGCATTCTGGATCGAACTGGGATTCCAAGAAAAGGGCACTCCTATAAAATGTCTTGAAGAGGGACCAGAGGATGGTATACATGTCAAAGTCAGACAGGATCCCAGTGATCCAGCGTGGACAGCTGGATCAACGTGATGAAGGCATTCTGGATTGAACTGGGATTCCAAGAAAAGGACACTTCTATTAATATTGAATGTCTTAAAGAAGGACCAAAGGATCGATGGTATGCATCACAAAAGTCAGACAGGATCCTAGTGATCCAGTGTGTAATGAACGCGTTCTGGATCGAACTGGGATTCCAAGAAAAGTACAATTCTATAAAAATGTCTAGAAGGAGGACCAGATCTAGAGGACCGATGGTATGCATCACAAAAGTCAGACAGGATCCCAGTGATCCAGTGTGAACAGCTGGATCAATGTGATGAACGCGTTCTGGATCAAACAGGGATTCCAAAAAAAGTACAATTCAGATCTATGAAATGTCTTGAAGAAGGACCAAAGGATCGATGGTATGCATCAGAAAAGTCGGACAGGATCCCAGTGATCCAGGGTGAACAGCTGGATCAAAGTGATGAACGCGTTCTGGATCGAACTGGGATTCAAAGAAAAGGACACTTCTATAAAATGTCTAGAAGAAGGACCAGAGGATGGTATGCATGAAAAAAAGTAAGACAGCTAGGATGCCAGTGATCCAACGTGAACTGTGAGCTGGATCAACGTGATGAACGCGTTCTGGATCGAACTGGGATTCAAAGAGGAGGACACTTCAGATCTTTAAAAATGTCTAGAAGAAGGACTAGAGGATGGTATGCATGTCAAAAGTCAGACAGGATCCGAGTGATTCAGTGTGAACAGCTGGATTAACAGGATGAATGTGTTCTGGATCGAATTGGGATTCAAAGAGGAGAGCAGGTAAATCAATGTGTTGATGAAGTTCCTTGTGGATCAAGCCAGGTGATGAAGGTATTCTGGATCAATCTGGGATTTAGAGAAGAAAACAGGAAAATGTATTGATGATGATCCATGTGGATAAAGGCACTCAATCTGGATCACACTGGGATTCAGAGAAGAGTACAGGTACATGTACTAGTATTGATGATGATCCAACTGGGATTTAAAAATTGAAGAATACTAGTTTGAAAGCTCGTACCACTTCCAGGTGTACTGACCTGAAGCTCTTCTGATACTCGAGGTAGATGCCCTCAGCCTTGGTGTAGTTCTCGAAGAAGATGATCCCCATGATAGCGAAGATGTACATGAAGGTCAGGAGCAGCAGCAGGATGAAGGTCATGGACTGGGCAGAACAGAGGTCAAGCACATTGATTTCTTCATTTTAAACTAATAAATTTAGTGGTTTTATCTACCAATTTTCATGAACTTTGCCTCTGAGGTGGTGTACTTTTTGCATGTTGCAATTGTCATGAGCTTTAGTATTCATCCATATTTTGGTACAAGGTCCCATCAAAGAGCCTATTGCTAATTTCGAATTGTGCCCATGGGTAACAGATACTAGATAGAGCAACCACAGAGGAAATACAATGTTTTGTATTACAAAGTTTTCATCTCTTTGTTTTGAGGAAATCTTGCTTTTCACGTTTAGTTTAAAATAACACCAGTCTAGTCTAATTCCGGACTAATTCCCATATCTCAGCAACCTTACATCTAGCTGGGCTAATATTGTAATAGCTGTAATTAGCTGGGCTAATATGTAAAAATGATGTAAGAAATACATGTATGTATATTAAGGGGCCATCCAGGACCCCTTGGGGATTAACCCAATTCTGCAGAATTCTGGCTCCAGTTCAAAGAATTCTGCAGAATTGGGTTAATCCCCTCAGGGTCCTTGATGGCTGCCACATATTTCTTACATTACTTTTAACGATTTTGGAGCCGGCGGACACCCTCAGACCGAAGGGCTACAACTCCGCCAAAAAAAGTAGGCCATGAAATCTCATTACATCAGTCAACGGAGGTTTCCAGTCGGCTTCAGATGCAATTTTGATAATGGTCCGTTGTCTCTATAATTTAGGTAGAAACTGTAGTTAAACGTAAATTTTGGATACGAAAAATATAGTTTTTTGGCAGCTTTTTCAACGGACCTGCTAGGAAAAAACGAATTTTCCTAGGCTAACGGCTTATATACTGAAATAGCTTACTACTTCCCGTTTCTGAAAAATGAGAAAAATATAGATTGTTGTGATAAGTTTTTCGCGAAATCCGGTGACGCGACTGCCTTGAAATTCCACATAGAACGCAGCTATTTGGGTCATCAGGCGACAAACCGCATCACCCTTGCTCACGGACTAATACAGAAAACGCTTCGCTGGCCGACCAACTTCACCACGCCGAAAAACACTTCAATCACAAGGTTTTTTGATCAAGTCAAAACCTATTTGAAAATCTACAACGATCGCCGAGCTATGGGAAGCCAAACCTAGCGTGACAACCTCGCAGATCCGGCGATTTACTGCGCACTATTTGGAACCCTGGTCAGATTTAAACTCCTTAAATATGCTTTTTTTTCTTCCTCGTTCCCACAATGCTCCCAACTGATGGTCATACCTGAAAAGCCTTAGTGATGGCGAGGGCGATGAGTCGGACTTGGCGGAAACGGGAGACCATCTTCAGCGAGCGCAGCACACGGAAGATGCGCATCTGCTTGGCAATGACGGCGAGACCACCTGTCCCTACATCACCTGTCATGTTCATGATCTCTGGGATCACAGACTATAGTGAGGGAGAATACGTTGTAGTTATTAATAAAGGCAGGGTTGGACCAGTCCTATTGGCTACTTGCTCTGAGGGCAAGTAAAAGTACTGCCAAAAAACAGTTACTCAAGCAACTGGATATGATTTTGAAAACGTCAGACGTTTCAGCTAGTATCCACTAGCTTTCGTCAGTGACTGAGAGACCAGAGGGGAAAGCAGGTTTATACACAACCTGTTGATTGATATGCAAATAAAGTGAAGACAAATTTTTGGAAGTCGAAAAAGGAACAAAAGTCAGACAAGTCAAGACAAGATGATGTAAATTAGTCTGAAAGCTCCTGTTATACAGGACAGAAGCTAAAGTGTTGTCTGTCCTCTGGGCCGGGAGTGCCAAATCCCAAGTGCCGGAAAGATCGACCCGTAGCCCCCCTTCCCTGTTGAGGGTGGGGTTGTACATTCTTTCATATATTGCCTCTTTAACACCCCGTTCCCACCAGCGTGTTTCGCGGTCTAAGACATCCGTGGACTCGAGTTTGAAAGAGTGACCAGGTTGCCCAGTGGGCAAACCTTAACGGCAAAAATTATGTTGCCCATCAGAATTTTAGGTTGCCCCACCTATAAGTTACTACTTTCCTCAAAGTAAGTACATACATAAGACTTTGACAATATTTCTAACAGCCTTTAGTTAACTGATACTAGTAATAGCTATTAATACCTAAAAGCAATTTAAAAAGCATCTGCCAGATACAATGGTGCAAACCAAGTGGGCATGATTTGGTGGGGGGGGAGCATTCTTAAAATTCAAGTAGCACACTGGGCTACCTAGGTTCAAAAATAGGTTGCCCCAAGTAAAATTTGGTTGCCCGGGGCAACTGGGCAACCAGGTATTTTGCACGCTGCTATAAAGGGTTGCCCTGAAATTCAACTATGTACCTGGAGTGTGACGATGAAGTCAAACACGTTCCAGCCACTACTCCAGAAGGGGAAGAAGTCGTCCAGCCACTTGAGGATGATCTCCAGCATGTACATGATAAGGGAGCAGTAGTCAAAGATCTTGATGCACATGTTCAGGGTGGCGTAGTCCTCGTTGTCACCAACCTCTGTAACAATTAAGACGGGTCAAAATAGAAGGAAGATCCATAAGTTATACTGTGAAGCCATTATCAGTGGAACAGTCTACCACAAGACATACATTGTCAACATTTGTGCACTTTGCCTCTGAGGTCTTGTGCTTTTTGCATGTTGCATGCCATAAGCCTTAGTATCCATCCATGCATTTTGTATTTTGGTACAAGGTCTCATCAAAGAAACTATTGCTAATTTCTTTAATTGTGGATATGATAACAGATACTAGATAGAGCAAAGAGCAACCACAGAGGAAATACAATGTTTTGTATTAAGAAGTTTTCATCTCTTTGCTTTAAGGAAATGTTGCTTATCACATTTACTTTACAAACAACCTCCAGTTTAATTATGGACTTCCAGTTTAATTTGATCCGGACTGAAATGCAATTTCAGGGCGGCAAAACAAAAAAAATATTCTGGATGAGGAAATCTGTCTGATATTGACATTTACTGCCATTTATTATTATTTATCATTATTGAAGTTTGAAATATCCCCAAAACAAGCTATGAGGAGTCCCTCTATTTTTTGTACCACCCATAAATACATTCTAGAACCAGCCTACTCTGTGCGCATGTGTGTGCTTGACTAGTTTATTATTACGTATTACTCTATTTTATCATATATGAATGATAGAGGCAACTCATTGTGACAGTCGTACCTGAGTCTATGCCAAGCACAATGGAGTTGCTCAGGATCAGAATCAACATGAACTTCTGGAAAAAGTTGCCTAGAGGAAGATTTTAGTCAAGGAAAAGCCGATAAAAACAAAGCAAGGCTTACATGTGCATTTTCAGCAGGAAATAAGCTGGAGATACATGTAAGACTAGAGATGCTAGAAAATACAGGACACAATGCAAGATCTTTTTGCTTTCTGAGCAAGTAGTGTACAATCTTTTATCCCTACAAGGGTCACAAAGGTATAGCATGAGTTTTAGACAGGAACAATGCCCTTATGACTCTTGACCCATTTAAGAACCTTGAATGTAAAATTTGTTCTGAAATACAAAAAAAGTACAGTGGTGCAGTTACATGTAGTACTGTAACTGTTTTAAAAAGTACTGGCTTCCTCATATGTGCCTGTGCTCTACATGTATATATGATATCATTCTCAGTTCTTTGAGATGAAAAAAAGGATACTCTCCAGAATCCAGCTGGCCCACAGGTCCGCCGAGGGGAATTTGGAGTACTTGTTTCGTACGCGGTTCTTGCGCCGAAGCGAGCGGTCCACGAACAGCGAGTCCACATGCTCGTGGATCTGGAACTTCACCAGCGCGTTGGGACTCTCCACCATTAGCTTGTTCATCACTTCTGGGTCTAAAGGAAACAAAAATGCCTTCAAGAGTTATCAACCAAGGATTGAGGTGTTCAAGAATAGAACTATCACAGAGTGGAACTCACTGTCACCAAGTACAGTAGGGGCATTGTCATTAGATTATGAACTTTAGACAATTTCTAGAGTTAGATGTTCAAGGGTTAGGTGTAACAAGTCGTTCAGTGTAATGTAGCCAGCTGCCGCCATGCCGTGTGCCTATGAAGTTGGTATGTTACACCAAAGGGCGGTTATATCGGCTATACAGTTACAGAAAAATGCACCTCCATTAAAAAATCCTTTGCAAAAGGAAAACTTTATATAGCTTTTGCTCTGTTCCTTCTTCTCCAAATAAATAACTTGAAGGTCAATAAACTGGACCAGACTCTGTCACCATGGTAACTAGTGTTGGAGCAAACACCCTGCGATGTTGGATTACATTATGTAGCAATGGCAGGACTGAGTTGGAGTGGAAGAATAAACAGAGCAGTTGTGTAGTTTGTTAGGCTAGACCATGTGAAGGTAAACATTATGTATTCGCTTTGCAAATGTTAACATTTTACAAACATAGTTCAAACTCTTAGTTGTGACACACCAAAAGCAGTACCTCCATTTATCAAGTGATTACATCTTAGAGACAACATGTTAGACTTAGAGAATTATTGTCAAACCTCTATTGTAACCGTACACATATATTCTGTATGTAGGATGAGATCCACACATATAGTTAGCTTTAGTAGATCTTTAGTTGTAAATGACCACACAAAAGTCCCTGTACTTTTGTTGTGTCAATAAAGAATCTCTGTAATACAAAATCATTGTAGACCTATTACTATTAGTTAAAGGGTTACATGGTAATGTGAGCAGGTTCTCTACGATGTGAATCTTACCTAGCCTCCTTCGCAGTCTCGTTGGGCGTCGGCGTTATTTTTTCTGTATGCGGCCGCGAGGGACGATTTGCTGCCGAGGGAGTTTTTGCCGTGTTGGAGAGCGAATCCTTCTCTCCACGGCAAAAACTCCTTCAGCAGGAAATCGTCCCTCGCGGCCGCATATTACTCACGTCGCTCACAGAAATAAAAACGCCGATGACCAACAAGACTGCGAAGGAGGCTAAATCTCACCCATGAGTTCTGCGGTGTGATATTTTGGGGTGGTGAAGACTCCAGTCTCCCCGATGGAGTCCAGCATGTTGAAGTCATGGATGAGTCGGGATCGGAACAGCTCGGCTTTGGGGCTCAGCTCGGTGGACGGACCCATCTTCTCGGCCGTACCCTGGTCTTTCGCAGCGGTGCTTTCGCCCGGCGGTTTGAGGGTTATGCTCCCGCGTTTTTCCCCACCACCTAACGTGATGCTCCCGCGTCTTTGGCCACCTCCTATCATGGTTTCTGTGGTAGCATCCTTACAAATACAATCAGAAAAAAAAGTAAGATTTTTGTGCCAAAACTGTGAATATAATTATAAATAATTGAAATTTTTTCCTCTCTAGATTCAATTGTCATTTTCAATAACTTTCAGCATATTAGCATCACAATTTTGCTTTTCCGGAGAATAAGTTGCTCCTGGCCTGTATTTTTTGGAGGCTCCTAAATAGAATGTAAACAAACAGTGGTAAACAAACTGAGGAGTCCAGGCAGTTTTCCTGAACACGTTTTTGCGGTGCAACGACGTTGATTTTTTACTCACCAAATGTCATTATGTTCAACCCAAGCCATTGCTTATAGTGCAAGAAAATGTTTAAAATCTATTGTGCAATGAATTTTACATAATAATATCGCATGACAAAATCTTGAATGTATCTAACAGAAAATTGTGACCTTGAAATATTGAGACCAATGTTGGATTTTTACCTGTGGGCCTCCAAAAATTCATCAGACTAAGAAAACATGGGGGTAGAAATTGAAAGGTTTATATAATATGGTATCTTTGCTGTATTATAATGTATAATGTATATTATAATGTATATAACATATATAAGATAAATATGGTCACCATAATCACTCAAATGAACTTCAACAGTGTTTAGAGAGTCACAGCAAAATGCGAATTTGTGCTGAGTGAAACAGATTTTTTTCAACGTTCTGAAGTTTTTTTTTTACCACGTCTAGCGAAAAATACTTTGAAGATTCCTACTTAATAATTGCGCTAGAATACTTACCTCACCAAGTATAATGGAATATGGAATATAAGTTTATCTTGGTCAGTCCTTGGCTGGGGTTCGAGGTTGCGGTTTGCCCTCCATATCAACGGACAAACTACAAACACTACAAAAACCTCCAGTTCTTGCACGTTCTGGAACGGCATTGTTGACACTTTCGAATGCGAGTCGAAAAACTAACACACGCGTTTTGGTCATGATTTCGTCGAAATTCTTTCAGCTACGCGACCTTTTTGATGTCATAAAGTGTCCAGGTATTCCAAACGTTGGAGAAATTGTGGTAATGTGCAGGAAGAGACGACATTTTGAAGAAAATGCAGGTCTTCGTCGACGCGTCCACTTTCCCCATATTTCCCGCCATTTTTCCAAAACAGGGACTGTTCCAACTATAACGCTAACCCCTTTCAGTTTTATTACAACCTGATTATAGTCGTAAATGTAATAAACCTAATTCTTGCTATTTAAGTACATAAACAGATAATATAGTTTGGTATAAAATTAATGGCGCTATAATTTGACTGCCTAATTATGGTATAAAGTTTGCTTATTAAACCTCCTCTTATTTAATGGTCTAGCCCAGTTGGGTCAAAGGTTAGGTATCGCTTCGCGAACTTTTTGGTGTTTCTGTCTTGAATATCGTAATATTTCTAGGTATTTCCGACCCTCCACTGTCCAGTGCTTCATGCAGAGAAGTTTGAACCTGCCTGTCTCTGTCCTCTCCACAAGATTCAGCTCTTCTGGGTGTAGGGATAGATCTGGAATGCCTAAAAAACAGTCGGCAAGAGGGAGGGGCAAGGCCGAAAAGGTATTTTTTCTTTATCAAAAGGCAAGGGATAAGTCTAATATAAAAAGGGATTTTTGAAGCAATAGCAACAGAAACTAGAAATCCTGAGCATTCGATCTGCATCTAAACCGTGGCATTTTCAAAGAACTGTCTCCGTTCAGAAATTTGAAAATACATGAAGCTAACGTTAGGTCAAGTATCTACGTTATAACGGCCATGTCCTTGGTGCTAGTTAGCTTTCTTCTACGTAGCCACTTACTTTACAAGCTACTAGTACTAGCCTATATAGGCGTTAACACCACAAAACTTGTTTAACACAGTTGCTTGCTATGTACAGACAATGAAAGTTTGTTTTTGGATTTGACATTCTATATCAGAACATTTTTTTCTACTAAGGCCATGTTCATATATGACTATAACGTTATGGATGGCATCATCTGTGAACCCCAAAACTGACGCGAGCATGTGAATAAAAAAAGTTTGGAAAAGAAAAAAAGTTTCATTCATTATGAAATCTACTTGGAACAAATAGCAAAACACATTTAATACTAATAGTATAGAGTTTAGTATGGCGAATAATAGTAGACTCTTCTTTTTTGTTTCTTCACAATTTCTTCTTTTCCTAAATTGATTTCGGCATTCTATAACATTAGTGCCATTTTCTGATCCTTTTTTTTTTGCAACATACGACATGTAATATTCTTTCATTTTGTACGATTTACAGTATGGTCGAAAACTTTTTTTTGTGGAAACGGATGGAAATTTATGCGCACGCGGATGTCATCCATATAATCAAATCAACATGGCCTAATGTTACATGTACATTGTCTAACATAGCCTGGGTGCCAATTGTTTTGTGGGTACAGAACGGTTGGCACCTGCGGGCATTCCCATTTTCTGGAGCTTTGTTTTGTCATACATATAGGCCAGGGCCACCACGGAGCCTGTGACCCAGGCTTCACCGGTTACTCAGGGTAAGGATGGGTCCATCCTGGTAGCCATCCATGCCAAGCCTGGAGCCAAGGCTAATGCCATAACAGGTCAGAACGCAAGCGACTCTGTAAATCATTCTGTTTTTATTTTCAGAGTCTATTATCACATGGGGAAATGGTGAGGCACTGACATACAGAGGTTTTTAAGCTCCACAGAGTAAGTGAGAGAAATTGCATGTCACATTAGCTGTGACATGTGTTACATTTTGTAGGCCACACTGACTTAATTTTATGGAAGACATCCGTGCGCGCATTGATTTTCGCCTGTTCTCAAAAAAAAAAAAAAATAAGATCACTTCCTCCGAGGCTCTGACCTGGCTCTAGGTCTGGGTAGTCCATAGTGGTTAGTGACAATACGGAGCCGGGCACCCAGGCCAGGCTACCGAAGCTCCACGACTCAAGGACTCGGTACATTGGTACAGTGCCGATTCATAAATTCCGCAAAAAGCTAGCAAGTGCCGCGGCTTGTCGTATACGTTGCTAAGTACTGCCACAAATTTACAATACCAGCTTTGTATTCCCGTGGTTTAGTAGCATTTTTATTTTTGGCTGGAATTTTTTTTATTCGCCCGCGCACACTAATTTGGGGGTCTTCGGAGGATGTCATCCATAAAATTAAATCGGTGTGGCCTTACAGATAAGGCATAGAAAAAATGTTGTGTTTCCTGTTTCAGTCCTGAAAAAATTAGGGTCGGTAGGTAGGGATTATCTTTTTTTCTTTTTCTTTTTAGACTTCAGTGATATCTATATAGGGGTCCAACTTATACAATACAGTTTAACAAAGTAAAACTTGCATGAGGACACTTTTATTTTCAATGTCAATGTTAGAAAACCATTTATACAATGTTTTATCACTAAGGTGTCAGATCATGGAGCTAGAAAAGGTCATTCAGCTCGAAAATTTATGTCCCTTGCAGGGGTCCACCCCCCAAAAAACTCTAGGGTAGGCAGGTTTTTCTAGGGTCGGTGGGGAAACAGGAAACACAACATTTTTTTTCCTAGGCCCAATGAGATGTATGTAGTGTATACACTAATACACGTGAATATTAAAATACATAATTGCAGGTCTTGTAGACAATATGGTGACTTTTTTCATTAGATATAACAAAAGACATGATCTGAATTTGTCCTGGAGATTTGATTTCTTTCACTCCTGACCACAGATGTAACAGCAGAGACTGTTGGTGTACAGATAGCAGCACCCCCTGCGGAGGGGGAGGCAAATGCAGAACTGTGCAGGTATCTGGCTGCCGTCCTGGAGGTCAAGAAAAGTGCTGTATCATTGGAAAGGGTACGCTTGCAACATTTTGACCTTTTCTATTGCGCCTCAGTTAGTAGAATATTCTTCAATCAGTGATTGTTTTTGAAAGGAAGAAAAATGTACCTCAAAATTTTTGATGTCGACTGTACATCTTGATCATGGAGATTGACAGTCGACATCGAAAATTTGGAGGTAGATGTTTCTACCTTTCAAAAACAGTCACTGATTGAAGAATATTCTACTAACTGTTACTTTTTCGTGACTGATGAACCTCTTCAACGATATTGTTGAACCTCAATACTCTCCAAGCATAGCCTGGTATCCAGCCTTGTTAGCTTTAGTCCGCTACCCAAGATCCGCTTGTTGGCGGGGAGCGGATCTTGGGTAGCGGACTAAAGCTAACAAGGCTGGATACCAGGCTACTCCAAGCAGAGGTTAGGGTTTTGGGTTATTTTTAGCGTGTTTTTAGACTTTTTTATCTGGGTTTCTTTTTTGTACTGGAATTTTCTTTCGGGTTGGGTGAAAGAAAAAATCGAGTACAAGAGAGTAGAATTGATGTAATGACTTTATTAGCGTTTCTGAACTAAAGGAAAGTGCTGTACCACTGTGTAACAGTGGGGTTCAAGTACCTTGTAGACTTGTGGTTAGTGCATTGGGTTCATGAGCTGTCAGCTTGGGTTTGGCATGGGTCTGATCATGAATCCCTGGAGCCAGGAGACCATACTACTACCCCCCGGTAGTACTCGCCTTTGGGTTTCAACTGGAAAGGGCGACTTTGTGTTGTTCTATATATTGTATAATATGATCTGTACCACTAAGGCCACACCAATTTAATTTCTTGGTTAACGGATTCACCTGCTTCATTTTTTTCTGATTTGCAAAAAAAAATTCAGAATCTATAAACTGCAAAATGCTCATATTTTGCCCTGAACAGCTGAAAACAGTCCTTTTCTTCCTACATGTAGTTGTTACAGTGATTCCATCTTTCAATGCAGTGGTATCATTAAAAGTTCAAAATTCATTGTTTAAATTTTGAACCAGGCTGGTGTACCATTTTGGACCATAATAGGATGCCTAGGTCTGTTTTTATTATTTATTGTTTTCGCCCGCCCGCTACATTATTTTACTAAAGAAATCCATTAACCAAGAAATTAAATTGTGTGGCCTAATAAATACATATATTGATTCATACTTGACCATCAGCATGCTTCTTGATAAAGCCAATAAAAGTCTTCACAATAAGTTTGTACTTTGTCTTATCTTTAATTGTGTACTACATAAGCTGTGAGGGCTCATGATTGTCATCTTCCTGTGCAGGGAGCAAAGTCGAGAGAGAAGTCTGTCCGAGTCGACGCTCCTGGAACAACAGTTGATGTCATACTTCAAAGAATAAAAGCAGAAACATCCTGACATTCTCCCCCCCCCCACAGAAAATATGCATGTCCAAAATACTAGTATAACAGTATTTTTAAATGATGTTTAGGCCATGTTGATTTGATGATACGGATGACAACCATGTGCATGAATTTTCGTCTTTTTCCAAAAAAAATGTTTTCTTAACCACATTGTAAATCATACAAAACAGTAACGTTAACTGTTTTAAAATGAGCAAATATATACTGTTAGTTGCAAAAAGAATATTGAAAAACTATACCAATGTCGTAGAATGCCAAAATCAAACAAAAAGGACAAAAAAATGTAAAGAAATGAATTTGAAGAGTAGATTATTTGCCAAACTATACTCTGTGTCATTTGTTCAACCTTCATGACCACGTAGATTTCATAATGAAAGCAACTTTTTTGTGCAAAACTTTTTTTTATTTGCATGCGCGCATCAGTTTTGGGGTTCCCAGAGGACGTCATCCATATAATCAAATCAACATGGCCTTTATTATTTAAAACTTGTAAACATCATCATTGAGGCTTAGAATAGATTTTTCAATTCCAGTGTAGATATATCCATGTTGGAAGCAGATTTGAGAAAGATGTCCTAAGAAAAGTTGATGTTCTTGGAAATTTTACAGTTTATACATGTAATTCTCACAGGATGAAGCAGCAATATATATCTGCAGTAGAACAAAAAGAAAACTGTGACAGTCATGAACATTTTGTTTAAAGACCGTTTGGTCACTGTGACCACTTCTTGGTGAATTCTGTCTACAGTGGCCACTTCTCTGCTGTACGTGACCATATTGTGACATCTAGTGTAAGAGTGTGACTTCACATGTATTTACTTTGAATCATTAAGGTACATGTATAATATATATTACTAAAGCTATTTGGTTGTTTTAGATTCCAAAATATCAGTACAACAAGGAAAGATGCAGTTCCTGTAACCAAAAACAAGTATAAATCCTTCTATAGAAATACATGTAATGGCATAACTTGTGGTTGGATGACTTTGACTTTGGACTATATAAAAGTCAGACCTTTGACTTTCTGTTTCATATTGTAAAATTTATCGTCTAGACATGGCAATGTACATGTGGTAAATGCTCTAGCTCTAAAAAGACAGAAGATTGGGGGTCAGCGTTCAACTTGGCATTAATTTTGTTTTATGAAGATTTACCACACTTGTGGAAGGATTGACATAACAGGTGACTATCAAGATATCAAACCTGAGACCAGACTGTCTTAGGTTTGAACCTCACACCAGGAAGGTCCTCTACTCTTTTCGATAAGTGCGGTGGGTTCTTTAACATGCGTGGGGTGTGGCTCTTCCAAGATCTTCCAACGTCCTATCCGAGGGACATCTCTAACCGAAGCTAGGTATTCATTTACACCTGTGAGTGAAGTGAGGAAAGTCGTGTAAAATTAGTGCCTTTCCCAAGGGCACAAGATTGGTGACATCTGGCAGGATTCGAACCCGGGACCTCTTGGGCCTGGGCCAAAGACGCTACCACTATGCCACCCGACCCCACATCACCTTCTTACTCTGAAATTCTGACCCATTTTTATGACAAGACACTTTAACCCATTTTTATGATCCAGTTTTATGACAAAAAGTAGTTTTATCATTGAGTGATATCCTCCACTTAAAAACCCATTAGTTAAGTGGTTGACATACATGATAAAATCTGACCTGCTTAAATTTTCTAAACACACCTGACCAAAGTCCACCACCAGAACTCTAACTGTGCCAAGGTCATTCCCCCCAGTGATCTTTGTACAGCAGAAAACTTTACAATCTAAGGCCACACAAATTTAATTTGTTGGTTCTCGGATTTTTTCAGAAAAAATACTAGAGTTCCCCGATCTCATACCTTCGCCAAATGATGTTAATCTTTATGACTGACAAATTATAGATTAGATTATTCCCCCCTGATTTAAGAAATAGCAACAAAATTTTCATGAATTATATCATTTTATCATAATCTCAACCAAAAGACAGTCTTATATTAACAAACAATGCATTCTAGCATTTCCTAATAAATTATGCAAATGAGGTCCTTATTTGAATAAATTATGTTTAATGATGTTCACCTCAATTTAACTTTCAAATACCACAAGTATGAAATTCCAGGCAGTTATCATTACATAATTATAAAATTTTCTCATTAATTATGCAAATTAAGTCATTATTAACATAATCAATATCTTCCTGTGTTTCTCTCGTTGTCAATTACCAATGTCACAAGCTTCAATTGTCCTATCATGGAATGCAGCTGATTTATAGAATTTCCTCATAAATTATGCAAATTACATCCATATTTGCATAATTGTCACATAATTATATTAAGCATCACGTAAGCTACCTACATACCAAAAATCACGACGATCCGTCAACCGGTTCTTGAGTTATCCCCTTTTGAATATTTTTACCTTCGCCAAGAAGGTTATGTTTTCTAGGGGCGTTCGTGTATGTGTGTGTGTGTGTGTCTGTCTGTCTGTCTGTCTGTCTGTCTGTCAACACGATAACTTGAGAAGGTCTTGATGGATTGTCTTGATACTTGGTAGGTGGGTAGGTCTTGATGAGACCTCAAAATGATTAGATTTTGGGCCACCTGGCGGCTTGTCATGGTACTGCAGCAGAACTTCCGGTTTTGATATCTCATGATCCAGACATGCTAGGGTGACGAAATTTAGATGGTAGATAGCTCTTGTGCTGGGGATAAAGTGACATGAGTTTGAGCCCCCTAGTTGCTTGCTCTAGAACTGCAGGGGGGTTTAATGGACAAATGTTTAAAGGGGGATAACTCAAGAACCGATGGATGGATCATCGTGATTTTTGGTATGTAGGTAGCTTGAGTGATGCTTGACATAATGATATTACAATTATGCAAATATGGATGTAATTTGCATAATTAATGAGGAAATTCTATTTATCAGCTGCATTCCATAATAGGAAGTTCAAGCTTGTGACATATGAAACACAGGCAGATATCGATTATGCAAATGAAGACTTAATTTGCATAATTAATGAGAAAATATTATAATTGCATAGTGGTAACTGCCTGGAATTTTATACTTGGGGTGTTTGAAAGTTAAGTTAAGGTGAACATAATTAAACATAACTTATTCAAATAAGCACCTCATTTGCATAATTTATGAGAAAATTTCATCATGGCATTCTTTGTTAAGACACACACACACACACATACACGAACGCCCCTGAAAACATAACCTTCTTGGCGAAGGTAATGAAATGACAGGGTGATAAAAAATAAGAACAGGACTAGGCATCCTATTAATATTATAGCCCCAAATGGTACTATAGGAGCCATGAAGTCAATTATTACCACAAAAGGCTGGGTTAATATTTAAACAATGCATTTTGAACTTTTAATCAAACCACAGTAGTGTATTGATAGATGGAAAAAACTGTAACAACTAGGAAGAAAAGAACTTTCCTCAACTGTTGGGGGTGATACAGTATATGAGCATTTTTGAGTTGATTCTGAACCAGAATCTTTTTTGTTGGCAAATCAGAAAAAAATGGCAACCTTGTTTTTTTCATCTTGCCTTGTTTTTTTTGCCCGCTCGCATTCAGTTTGGAATCTGTGGAGGATGTCCTCCATAAAATTTACATGCTTTGGCCTAAATGAAGGCAACTTTACTTTGCCAAACAAATCAAATCAACGTGGCCTAATTTTTTTAGCCTTGAGTCCTGACCAACGGTCGCTACCCCGCCCAAAAGTCAGCACAACTCGTGATACTTAGTAAATTACTGGGTGTGGGTGAATGCCCTGGGTGAATGACTGTTGATGAGTATTTTCCGATCAGCTGGTTTCCTCTAGAACTTTCCGAACGTCATCACAGAGATTGCGTCATTGCAATACGCCGGGCTCTGATTGGTCAGCTCGGTGTGTGTTTCACCCTGATGAATGAAAGAACGGACTTGATTGGTCAGTTGATCTCTATCATGTGGTGATCACGTGTACCAGGCGATATCCAGGCGTAAAAACTCATCGCAGGTTCAGTTCTGCTTCGACTTTGACGAGGAACAGATGTTTTGGTGAGTCTCTCTTGTTCACTGTACACCAGGTTACATACGTTATTTGATACAACGTATTAGCATTTCTCTCCTTTATGTTTGTATTTGAAGCGGATTTTCGTGTGTTACGATTTTGTTTACGAGTCCTGAGCGAGGTCACGTAACGCGTTGACAAAGGTCGGCACGGTTGGTTAGCCTAGCCTCCGTAGCAGGCTTATGGAACTGGGGCTTTGGTGGTCTTCAGCTGTTTTCTAATTAGCCCAGTTCAAAAAGAACGGGGATAATTCCACCAGGCCGGCTATGTTGTCTATGTGCAATCAGAAAATAGCACATAAAAGTTCCCAAAGACCAGGAAGATCCTCAAAACCCCCATGCTATGGAGGCTAGGCGCCACGGTCTCTTGACGGCAAACAGCTGATTCTTCCCGCCTAATTTCAACAACAGGGCACCTCACTGCTACTTCAAGAATGCCTAAATCGCCTCTAAAACGATAAAACTGAACAGTTAGGCTCTTACATATAGCGAAATGTGTTTGGTTTCCAGAAATTATAAGCTGCGAACCAGAACTACAAATGCACTAAGGAAGGAAGCTAGTTGGTGGGAGGGGGGCATATTGAGTCACGGGGGTTGCATCATCACTTCGAGTTATACGTGTACGTTGTCACGTTTCCACCACACTACGTTAAAACTAGAAAATCGTCGTAAACATGAATGGTTGGCTAGGGGAGTAAACTGTCTTTTGGTTATCCTTCATGATTTGGTTATCCTTCATGACAGCGGGCCAACACGTCGGTCTCCTCGGGCCACCTCAGGACCAAAGGCCGCCTACTGTTTTGCCTGTCTCCCCTATACTTACATGTAAATTTTAGCCTCCGTAGCAGGCATATAGAACTGGGGTTTGGTGGTCTTCGGCTGTTTTCTGATTAGCCCAATTTAGGACAAAAATACTGCTGAAACTAGTTAATAACCTGGAACAAGTAATACCCCATTTTCTTCTTGATGTTTCTTCTCCCATTTTTCTGGCAAGATTTTTTGTCATGTGGTGCCAACATCAATGATAAAATCCAACATGCTTTTTGCAACAAAGAACATGTTTGTGTGTGATTAAAGTCTACCACCAGTTACTGTACCAATGTCATTCACTGAAGTAAGTTTGTACAGTAGAAAAGTTTACAACCTAGGCAAATGTTACCTAACCAGGATAGAATCAAGTGCCGGTGTGACCAATGGTCTTTATGATTGATCAAAGTCCACCTGTAACACTGTTCCCCTTTCGGTAGGTCATTCCTCTTAGTCTAACTCTTGACCTTTGTACCGTGGGAAGGTACTATACATGCTAAATTTGCTACCCAATCAGAGATTTAGACATTACCTTACTGGAATGGCATCTGAATTGATGGATAGATTAAACCTTTTGCAGCAAGCTGTGTTGGCACATGCATGGTGAAAGTATTACATCCCTCCCAATCTTAGACATCTAGAGTTGTAATGAAACCACACCACTCACGGGCACTTCGTATGCCAAAGAATAAGATAACTGTCCTTAGGATGGGCAGACGTGGTTCACCTTTTTTTTGTCATAAAGTACATGGAAGGTGCCAAGTACATTTACCTTGAATAAATTACTACTATATTTACCTTCGCCAAGAAGGTTATGTTTTCAGTAGCGTTTGTCTGTTTGTCTGTCTGTCTGTTTGTGAACAGCATAACTCAAGAAGCTTAATATGTATTGTCATGAAACTTGGTAGGTGGGTAGGTCTTGATGAGACCTAGAAATGATTAGATTCTGGGCCCCCTGGCGACTTTTGTTGGTACTGCAGCAGAACTTCCGGTTTTGATATCTCGCGATCTGGACATGCTAGGGTCACGAATTTTGGTTGGTAGATAGCTCTTGAGGTGGGGAAGAAGTGACATGAGTTTGGGCCCCCTAGCAGCTTGTTCTGGAACTGCAGGAGCGTTTCTTGAAAAATCTCCGAAGGTTGATAACTCAAGAACCGGTTGACGGATTGTCATGATTTTTGGTATGTAGGTAGCTGAAGTGATACTTGACATAATCAGATGACAATTATGCAAATCAGGAGCTAATTTGCATAATTAATGAGGACATTCTATAAATCTGCTTCTTTCGATTATACGACTTTGAAACACTTGTGACATGTAATTGAGAACTAGAAAAACATCTGAGGATATAGATTATGTAAATGAAGACCTAATTTACATAATTAATGGAAAATTGTTATAATTTCATAGTTGTAATTGCTGGGAATTTCATACTTGCCGTATTTGGAAGTTAAGTGAAGGTGAACATCAATGAAGATAATTTATTCACATTATGAACTCATTTGCATAATTTATGAGGAAGTGCTAGAATAGCCTATTTTTTTAAGATAAGGCTGCCATTGGGTAGAGAATATGATCAACTGATGTAATCCATGCAAATGACGCTCTTATTTGCGAAATCAATTATTAAAATTGTATAATTCGTCAAACGCAAGGGTTAACATCATTTGGCGAAGGTATGAGATCGTGGAACTCTTGTTACATATTTTGTTTACATGTACCTTGTGCCCCAAACCAGTGGAAGTACATGTATATAGCTTTAACTAATTAATAGGCCCTGGTCCAACTTGTTAATTACTAGTAATTTAATTACTAAAAAATCGCACAGAGATCGTACGTTGTAAGCACGTACAACTCACAACTTGCGCAACAAACGATGCATGCAGACCACACTCTTACACCTTGCGAAACCGTGCGAGTGACGTACGTCGACGCCACTCCTTCCCCACGTTTTCAGAAAAAGAACGTAGCAGACGTAGCCTCCAAAAAAAAACGTACGGACAAAAAGCACGTACGGCGGGTTGTGACCAGGGCTTTAGTCAGTCACGACTGCAGCCATACAATATTTACCGATCAGAAAAGGATACAGCTGTAGCATTTCCTCGTGTACAGACGGTGGCACAATTTCAGAAAAAGGCAACTAAAAGTCCCTGCCATGGAGCTGAGTAGAATGTTGGATGAAGTGATTTCTTTTGTTGAGTTAACCCTCGATCCGTCGGTAGGGTTAGCAGCAGTGCCCTTGTTGCGTTCGGTTGGGTAGGGATAAGTGATATCGCGGGCAGTTCAGTGCAGGGTTGTTGTAAACACGGTCGGTGCCTGGCCGACGTGCGGCTTCGTATTCGTGGTTGGATTTGACCCTAACTGCAGAGACGTCGGTTTCCACACGAAGTGGAAAATCCCCCGACGGGTTGTTGAAGGAGCGGCCTGCTCCCTACACTCCTGCAGATGGGCAGACGCCTCTGATAAAGGGAGATACTTAAGTTCAATTGGACTGTGGCAGACAATTTTGTTATATTTCAGGGTGCCAGTAATTATAAGAAAGCAGGCTGAACACGACTGACAGCAGGCCTTCTCATCTCCCTTCTTACAGGCTTCTAAACACGCCACCTTTTCAATCAGCCAGAAGAGGTCACAGTCACAGTGAAAGGGGTTGTCCATGATGTAGGCTCCTTTCACCTGTGGCCTCCCCAGTTCGTACTGGGAGAGAGACGTAAGCTTGTTGTGGCGAATATTTACGACTTTCAGTTTCGGCAGATGCTCAAGGACGCTGCCCAGCTCCACGTACCGTAATCGGTTGTTGTTTAGTGCAAGAGTCCTCAGAACTGGCAGAGCACGCAAAGACATCCAGGAAAACGATTCTATGGAGTTCCAGCTGAGGTCCAGCCACAGTAGTCGCGGTAGAGAAGGCATATAGGATACATTTCTGATGTTGTTTCGCATGGCAAAAAAATGTTCAGCATTGGGTGGTATGTCATCAGGAATTGTGGTAAGGTGTAGATTAGTACAGTCAACCCACAGCGCTCCAAAGTACGTCTGCTTCTTTGTCAGACATTCAGCCGGCAGACAAGAATAACCCGCCCACAGAGATCCCAACGTAACGAGCATCAACAGTCCACTTACTTTCATGATCATATCTGACATTTTGTCCTCCGACTGTTGACTGACTGTTTGGAAAACCTAGTAGCTGCACTATATGACAGTCTTCCTCTGTCTGAGTACTGTCGTTTGCGATGCAGACGTCACTAGACACCGTCACGTACTGCAATCATAGAACTCATCTGTAAAACTTCATGTTTTCAGGCTTCTGCTGAGATTGGTCTTAAGGTGGGGGCGGCAAAGACAATATTGCAAAGACGGCTGGGCCTGGGGTTTGAGAAATTGTTTTGTCTGCCAATGTATATCAATCTTGTGGTACTTGTCACTGCTATTGAATCCATTGTGTGATATATGTAGTCAAAAGAAGTGCAAAGACACAGAAAAGTCAGTCCTTTCTTTCTTTTGCTGTATTGTTTATTTTATTTCTACCAGTCACTTGTTTTGTAACTAACACGTGCAGCTGCTAATAATCCAATTGCTATTGGGCTAAGCAGTACTTTAAAGAAGAGATTAAGAGATGGTGTTTCCAGTGCTCTCCTCAAGCAATGAAGCAAGGGTACTCCCCCTTCCCCCTAAAATGCTAGCACCTCTCTCCAAATGTTAGAATTTAGGGTTTTCTCATAGTATTTTCCTAAAAATTTGCAGATTTTTTGTTGAGCACCGTCAACTCATTAGAGAGCACCTCTCCCCTAAAGATTTCTGAAGAGACCCAGTTAGACAATATGTGGAATATAATTAGAGTATGTGAGAATTATTGTGATTTTGCATAATTGATGAGGGGACTTGGACAATTTTTCATTAAGGAACCCGGCTTCACATGCTTTCTTCAATTCTTGGTAGAAAATTCAGTTTATTTCTAGATTATGTAAATCAACCAGAATTGGTGCTAAGGAGCTAAACTTTTTACATGTTGCAGTATGTTCACATTAAAGTGGTATCAAACTTGTACAAGTTGTGTGCCTTGCTGTTATTTAGTTACAGCTCTTCAAAAAAACGATAAAAACAGGTAATTTGCGAAATCCGGTGAATTCGACGGTAAATATTATAACTTAAATTGGCGATTTCTCAGCCACACAACATCCAATTTATATTATTACTTCAAACAAAAAGCATTTTGTTTCTTTCAATAAGCTTTGTCTGATTAACTTATTTGTGAATGGCTTAGAACAACTTTAATTTTTTGTCCAATAGCCCTACCCTGAATTGTGTTTCTTTCCCTCCCCAGAGTCGTATGTATCGCAAGCATCAGCAGGAAATCATGGCCGCCGAGACCGAGGACAACATTATCACGCGCGTGGGAAGCCTCCCGTTGGTCAGCGCCTCCGTGACCCAGGTCACCAGCATCTACAGCGCCGGGAAGGAGCGCTACCCGCTGGTGAAGTACGTGGGCGAGATGGCGGAGAAAACCGTCATGTACGCTGCCGACACCGCCAAGCCAGTCGTGGACAAGCTGGAACCTCAGAGTGGGTATCAACCTTGATCTTTCAAAATCTTCCAATGCAATTTCAGGGCCCCAAAACAAAAATTATTCTGCACATGAGCCAAAAAGCAGCTGGATATGATTTTGGAAAGTTGCTCGAGTAACTGCTTTTTGGTGTATCGTACTACAATGTAGTACCTGCGTGTCTAACCTTCATCAACATATTCTGCACATGTTCTGTCATTTCGTCATTCACGTATTCATCATCATTTCGTATTTGAAGCGTTGGAAATAGCAAAAAAAAACAACTTCAAAACTAACCCTGGCTTGTGGTCAGCTGATGAGAGACAGACTTTGGATCTAAAATACGTAGTCACTGTGATGCATTCAGGTACACTGGGCCTCTCAGCCTAAGCTTCCAATGATACATAATGCTATACTAGCCTGACTAAACCCAGGGCTCGAAATTAACATTGTCCCAGTGTCAAATGACACTAAATTTTCAGCTCGGGACAATTCAAATTACGTTTTGGGACAATTTCGGGCAACTGGAAAATTCTGAGACCATCCACATGATTTTGGAACGCGATCCATCCATCCTGCTGCGGGCCGCCAGCAGCCCATAATACTCAAATATATGTTCAAACATTTAAATTTGACCAATCAGGGATTCCAATTGTCGGGGAGGGGGGCCTCGAAGATGGTGCAGTGCCCATGATACTATCATCTATTTCCCTACATTTACTAATAAAGTGGACTTCAAGTTGTACAATTCTGCATGTTGTTGTTGATTTCTTATTGTTGCCATAAACATTTCTTAAAAAGAAGGCTGGGACAGTCCATCCTCAGTTTGGGACAATTGAAATCTATGTTCGGGACAATTCCGGGACAATAGTAAAAAAAAGTTAATTTCGAGGCCTGAAACCTCCTGGTGGCCGCTGCCCCAGGGGTCATTAACCACCAACCCAGAGCTTGTGTAACACAGGCTAAATGCCATACAGTTCAAAAAATAATAATGTCAATAACTTGTGCTGAGTGTACAAAACTGTAAATAAAGACAGTTTTTATGGGTTCACCACACCACGAAGTGGTGTGTGGTGAACCCATATTGCTTTTTCTGGTGTTTCTTCTTCTCCTTCTCCTGCCATTTTTTAAATGGATTCAGCTTCTTCATTTTAGGGCCTAAGGTCCTGAAATTTGGTATGGAGGTACAGTGGGCAAATACCCCAAGGCGTTTTTTAAATTTTTGTGATACGGGCTTTTAGAATGGTTTTATTTGAGTTTTTTGGCTGTGTTATAGCAAATGTATTACTGTGTTAGTGTGCCGTGTTTACCACGTTTGGGCATGAGTCATCACAATGGAATGCAGGGCATCAACCAATAGGCATGTAGCTTTCCTCTATTCTTCTTGCTGATTGGCTGTTGGGATTTAACTTGATTAACACCTGCACAGAGCATTTCCACCTGCACAGAGCATTTCTTGCTGATTGGCTGTTGGGATTTAACTTGATTAACACCTGCACAGAGCATTTCCATACTAACAGTATGTCTGTATTCAAGTGTTTTGGTAGGTATTTCAAGCTTTCCTGCTCCAGCATTGGAATGCGGGGCATGAACGTTTTTATTTTTATTTTGAAAATCAACAGTTTGCATTATGCAATTAAAAATCCTAACCAATAAAGTAGGGAATAGCTATCCAACTGTTGTTTTAGTTGTATGTTACTTCATATTATAGTTATATCAATGTAAATCATTGTTTTCCCTTGTGTTTCTCATTCTTTCCCTGCCATGTAAAATGTGGTGAACCCATCGCTGTATTTGCTCCAAAGCAAATATTGGCCTTTCTAGTTTACTAAGTTTTTACTACTTCTCATGTTGTATTATTTCTTTCTCCACAAACAGTTGCTGTAGCGAACAGCTATGCCGTGGCCGGTCTGAACAAGCTGGAGGAGACAGTTCCCATCATCACTAAGGAGCCGGGTGTCATCGTGGGAGACACCAAGCAGGCCATCTGCTCCACCGTCTCCGCCACGGGCGAGCGCATCATGAACAACCCGGTCGGCCGCGTGGTGAAGAGCGTGTCGGACACCGCGTTGGCCACCGCCGAGAGCTACGTGGAGTACTACCTGCCTCCGGAGAAGAAGGGTACGTTCCAGACACTGTCAATCACTTGAGTAAAGAAATAGTGACTTTGGAAAAATTCGCCTGTATAACGCGTTTCAGGCTCTAAATCATCCGTTTTGGACGGGAAAAAAAGGCCAAAATTACAATATACGTATAATGTGCGGATTTTTTTTGAAAGGTCGGGAATATTTTTCTTGCACTTCTAACACCTCAGAGAGATGTTAGGAATGCAAGAAAATTGTTTCCGACCATTTCCAAAAGACATAGTGACTTTGGCAAAATTCGCCTGTATAACGCATTTCAGGCTCTAAGTCATCACACAACCAAGTCTTTTATTCAGCCGACGTTTCGGTGACCGTCTGTCACCTTCCTCAGGGCAATTCTGACTGGTTCACATTGCATTGCAGAACAGAATTGCCCTGAGGAAGGTGACAGACGGTCACCGAAACGTCGGCTGAATAAAAGACTTGGTTGTGTAAAAAGAGTCTCTTTACTTTAGTGTCTTGAAACCTGATGAAACTTTTCACGAATGTGAATCACTTCAAATTTGCGGTAGCCAATTTTTGCGGTCTGTGAAAAATGGACTTGTTCGCAGAACTTGCAGGTGCAGAAGAAAGAAAGTCGGCAAATTATTTGTTGCAGTACTGCCCTTTCCTGCTAGGAGGCACTGATGGTACAGATGCTGTGGTCTAATGACAACTTGTTTGGAATGTGGGGAAACCTTATGCTCATGTTGTTTGTCTTTGTCTTTGGGGTTAAGGTTAAGCCAACATCAACTTGCTGATGATCCTGCTACACTGTAGTATTTGGACTGTAGAATTTTGGACCATCGCACACAGGGGCATGCCCCTACACTCATTTACACCTGAGTGAAGTGAGGAAATTCGTGTAAAGTGCCTTTCACAAGGGCACAAGATTGGTGACGTGGGTGGGATCGAACCCTGGACCTCTAGGTCCAGAGCCGAACGTGCTACGGCTGCGCCACACGACCCCACTGTTTGATAGACATATAGTTTCACAATGATTTTCTCTCCCTGCAGCACTAGAGGAAGATGAGGGGAAGGAGAAGGAGGGAGAGGGTGAGGAGAAGGCGGTGGTGCCGGCAGCCGAGGGCACGCCCACCCTGACCCGCGTCACCAGCCTGACGGGGAAGGTCCGCCGCCGTGTGTACACCCGCGCCATGGCCAAGCTGAAGGACGTCCAGGTCCGCTCACAGGAGGCTCTCAGCAACCTGCACTTCACGGTCGACCTGGTGAGTTTGTGTGTGCATGTGTATATGTGTACGGAGTCCTCTGCATGCCTTTATAGTCTTTGTAATCTGTAGGCAGCCTCCCCAAAAATTAACGTAATTCGTAATCAGTACATAAGCCGCATGGAATAAACCGTCTTGTATTCTACATACACACATAGGTGTATGCAAATTTTTATTTGCTGCACTGACTGTTACCACCTGGCGCTGGTTTCTGAACAGTTTTTTTTATGATTCATACTTTTCCGAGTGGTGTTGATAAAATTTGTCTGGTGCAGGTAATTGTCATTGTTACCTGCACCTGAGTGTAGGCATGCAGAAAGTACAAAAATAAGAACCCATCTGTAAGTACAAGAACCCATCTGTAAGTACAAGAACCCATCTGTAAGTACAAAAACCCATCTGTAAGTACAAGAACCCATCTGTAAGTACAAGAACCCATCTGTAAGTACAAGAACCCATCTGTAAGTACAAGAACCCATCTGTAAGTACAAGAATAAGAACCCATCTGTAAGTACAAGAACCCATCTGTAAGTACAAGAATAAGAACCCATCTGTAAGTACAAGAACTACAATAATAAGAACCCATCTGTGTTGTTTGTAGATCCAGTATGCGAAGGAGAACATTGACACAGCAGGTGACCAGGTGAAGGAGCGCCTGACAGCTGCGCAGGAGAAACTACAGGCCACCTGGGGGGACCTGCTGGCCGAGGAGGAGGGGGAGGTCCCTCAGGAGGAGAGGGTAAGGAGGGGGTAAGGACAGGGAGGGGGTCTCAGGAGTAAGGACTGGGGATTCTCAAGAGGGTTAAGAACCGGGAGTATTGCTCTACCCAGCCTGAAATTTTTTTCCGTCATCTCAAATTTGTCAAATCAATGTGTGGCATTGTGCTGGAAGCAATACAATCCTAGGGTGGTCAGGGGTTGTGCTCCAGCATAAAAATTTTAAATCCTGACCCTCTGAAACACCATTTGCTGCATTTTGAGGGGAAAATTTTACCAGTAGACTAAGCTTACCTCTTTACACATTGATTTTTGTCCGTCAAAGATGACAGTTAGGGCAAAATTTGTGTCCATCATGTGAAGGGAAAATAATTCCATCAAATGGTGGAATGACGGCTGCTGGCTAGACCACTGACAGGGAGGGTCTTAGATGGGTTTTAAGGACTTTTTAAGACTGGATGGTCTTAGAGGGTAAGGAGGGGGGTATTTAAAAGGAGGGGGCCAGAAAAAGGGGGATACAGGGGGCTTGTATGCTGTACTTACATGTACCAACTAGTGTGTTGTGCTGTTAACATGGCATTTAATCCAGGTAAAAACTACATGTTACTTATTGTCACCATCACCAAACTACGAATCAGCTGTCTTAAACTCAGCATCAAAACAGGAAGGCACAACCGCACACCCCTGGAGCAAAGGATTTGCCAATTTTTTAGCTCAAACAAAGTAGAAGATTAAGTCCACTTTGTCATTGATTGTAGTTTGATATATATATATAGAAATGATCTTTTTAGATATATTACAAGTACGTTTCCATACTTCCTAATACTTGGCTAATATTGAAAAATTTTTCTTTCTTATGCGCTTTGACCATCCTGCATTAAACATACCCATTTCAAATTATATTTTTAACATCACAAAGAAACGAGAAGAAGCTGAATCTCCATAGTTTTAGAGCTGTTTGTACTACAAACAATTTATGTACATTTTCATCTATCTGTTCACCTGTGCTTAGCCCGATAGGGCATGAATGTACAATAATTTATTTTATTTATTGTTAGAGCCTGAAATCTTATGTCAATTTCTGATAATTCTGCCCGCAGACGGTTGAGCGCAGGGTGGTGCGCGTGGCGGGCCGGCTGACCGGACACCTGTCAGACCTGGCCGGGAAGGCGGTTGACACCGCCCACTCCGTGCTGCCGCAGTCGTTCCAGGACCAGCTGCACAACGTGAAGCAGACTGTCGACACCATGTACGGGGAGTTCAGGGAGGTAGGTGGTGTTTGATTTGATTTGATTATTGAAATTTCAACACTGCAATACACGCGGAACAGAGGCAGCTGTTGCCGGTGTTGTGTCCCGCACATAGAAATGACTACTAGACAGACAATACTCATTTTCACTTGTCTAGTGGGGAAAGTCATGTAAAGTGCCTTTCCCAAGGGCACAAGATTGGTGGCATGTCAGGACTCGAACCCGGGACCTCTTGATTTCGAGTTGCGCACACTGCCGCAGCGCCACATGACCCCACACTTGTTCCATTAGGCCTAGGAAAAAAATACTGTGTTTCCTGTTTCAGTCCTGAAAAAGTTAGGGTCGGTAGGTAGGGATTATCTTTTTTACTCCGTGAAGGAGGTCAGGACCTCCGAGACGGAGTGTTGTGAACGGCTGATTTTTCATGTTCGCAGTCAAAACACTGGGTTCTCTTTGTGTAATCGGCACGCAATTTTATACGCCGTCTGCGGGCATGCCCGTGTTGATGCACGAATGTGTATTTTTGCCGTTGCTGCTTTCGCGGTCAATGTAATATTGCAGACGCACCCCTACAATTACGAGGCGAATTGGAATGGTCCAGAAAAACGCGTTGTTTGGAATAGCAGTGGGGGGGTGGAACTTCATGCAGATACGGGGTGGTTTTGATAAGTGGTTCCAGATGTTTTTGCCCATGGTTAAGAGATGCCAAGTTTTTTGGAAGATGTTCGCAGCCAAAATGCATTCTTCCGTACGTCGCATGTTTGTGTAATTTCGCATGTGGTGTGGCATTATGTCCGGGATGATGCACGTGTTTTTATTTTTACCGTAGCTGTTTTGATATTGGAGTAAATGCTTATTTTCGAAACATCCCCATGTCGTTGAAATGTTGTCGTCCGTTTATGTCACCGGTAGTAAGTCGCGGCGGGGCTGATGGGGGCGGAAATGTGGGGTGGTCAGAGGTCAACATTAGGAAATGTTAATACCGATGACGTAATCCTATCGATTTCAAACTAGTCGGGTGTGGCGACCTGTGGCGGCGTGTATTTAGTCACGTAGCAACTGGCCGGTCGTCCTAGCAACGAGCATGCTGGCCGCTTCACTGTACACATGGGCAATATTTTTGGGTTGGGCCGCTCCATAGTGTTAGTGGAGCAGCTCTTTGAAAAAATGTACAATATTTTTGAGCAACCCATCAATGTGTTCTGCCTCGTGGTCGGATGTGGTCTGGGGCTGGAAAACCGCACATACTAGTAGATCGGATAATTTAATGATTTGCTAGTTGTAAACGCGTCTTGTAGTATGAGCCGGTATAGGAAGAAGTAACCTGTGTTACACAATCATGCTTTCGGCCGGACTGATGTGCAACTGTTACTAATTGCACTAATGCCGACCAGTCGCGCTAATGGCGACCAGTCGCGCTGTCCTGATACACCGCGAATGTTGGGCAATATGCGAGTGTTCCCTGTAGACAGTCTTGGGAGTCATTTTTCGCACATTCACACATTCCAGGAGCCAAACCAAAATACGTTCATGAACCGAGTCCAAAAAACCGAAACATTGAAATCGGATGATCGGACCTGATGTACATTTCTCTTTCTGTATATTGTACACACAATACACACATCTTTAGATAATCTGGCCATGGCAGGTAAAAAAAAGTTGTTGCCTCTTAAGATGACTGAGCCGACGTGCGTTTAAACAATTTTTCTTTGTTCGATTCATCACACTTCACAGAGAATTGTCGCCAATGGCTACTTCTTTTTGTTGCAATATATAATACTTCACGGAGAATTGTCGCCTATGGCTTCTTGTTTTCCTTCTTTTTTATATTAGACTTTCAAGGCAATCTCTTGTGATCCAACAGTTGTACAATACAGTTTAACAAGGTGAAAGTTGCATGAGGACACATATATTTTCCATATCATTTTTGTAGATGTCAGAAATGTGAGATTATTGCGAAGTAGAAGTTAATAACAATCACATGATAAAAGATTTTCTTTTATTGAAGTTTTTTTAATTTTTGGTGCAAAAATGTTACATAATGCCCCTTTAAGGCTAAGTGTAAAGCATCAGTTGTCATGAATATTTATGAGGTGTTTCTATTTTGTTGGAGGAGTGTGGTTGTGTGTGTGTGTGTGGGGGGGGAGGCGTTGATGTGAAAAATGTACTTATTAGTAATTCTTACCTTGTCCTGTATGTCTCCCTTCAGGCGAAGGGATTCAGTGATTTGCCGACGGAGCTTTTGGAGAAGTCGCGGGAGCAGATCCAGAACCTGACAGGCGTGGTTACCGCGGTGACAGACTACATCATCACCAACACTCCTATCCAATGGGTGGTGAGTAGCTCCCACACTACTACTTTTGCTAGGTATTTATGCTAGACGTGTTGTAGTTATTACACAGGGCTCCAGCTCAAATGTTTTTCCCCATCAGCCCGTAGTGGCGTCTGTGTGGTGTAGTGGATAGAGCGTCCGACTGTCAAGCAAGAAGACCCAGGTTCAATCCCCAGGGTTGGACCCAGACATGTCCGGACATGCACCCAGATGTTGTGCCCTTGGGCACTTAACACATATTTCCCTCCTCAGTTAGAGGGATCCTGGGCCCTACTAGGGTTTGGGTTGGCGTTAGGAAAAGCATCCAGCCGTAAAAATCTTGCTTGAAAATAAAGACTTGTACTTTATGCAAGCAGGTCTAACACCCGGTTGGGAAAAATGACGTTAAATTCGGTTATAAAAAAAAAGCCCAGGTTCATGATTAGCCCAAGGAAGAAAGCACTTGCATTCTAGGGAGGGGTCCTTAGGCAAATTTTGTTTTCAAGGCTTTAAAAATGCAATTTCCCACATTTTGAGAGGCAAATCATGGGGTTGAGAGTGGTTGTTGGTTGTTCTTTGGATGTATAGAAATTTTTGCACAAGATTTTTGTCAATTTTGTCCATCAAGGTTGATGGATTGGTTTAAGAATTTTTCCATCACACGCCACAAAGTTCCTGCAGTGGACGGAAAAACGGGTACTGGCTAGAGCCCTGAGTAACAACGGCTACACTTGTCTACAACAATTCCATTCTTCGGTTCTTAGTCTTTTTCAGGTAAAAAAACTAACCAAAAGGGCCAGATAAACAGGGCTGGAAGAAACATTAACACATTAAAACATAGGGCTGGATTTACATAATTATATTCACTGACCAAAACTGACTTCCCCAAGGAATTCGTTCCTCATGCTCTTGTTTTTAAGTCAAGTTTTTTTAATGCAGTATGTTTTTTTACACTGAAAACCAATATTATAAATTGGTATGGCCCAATAGCAGCAGTGTGTTTATTAAATTAGAACAGTCAGGCCACAGGATACAAATACATGTCCATAGATAAACAGCTATCATATGCCCACTTTTCCAAAATCTCAGTCTATAATCTGACTCTTATTATTGCCAAAGATATATTTATATGTCTTCCAATTTTTTTGTTGAAGGCAGTATCCAAGAAATTCCAAATCTACCACTTAGATGCACTTGTGTAATGGTTTATTTCTTGTTCACTTGTACACAATCTGAAGTCATTGAAAAGGGAATAAAAAAAACACCTTCAAATAAGCACATTAACATAGGGGTCATGTAAATAATTACATTACTAGTATGTATAAAGTAAACATAACATAATACTAGTAGCATATATGCACATTTTTTGCCTCATCAAAGCATTTGTGATATTTTCACACAATACAATGCCAGTGTGTGCTAAGGATAAGTAAAATGAAATTATATATTGTATAATATAGAAATAATAATCACATGTGCCAGATAATCCAAAGTAGGACTCCTGCTAACATTGGTTTCTGAGTCTCCATAGTCAAAGGAATATTCATGGTTTAACATCTATGTACAAGTTGTATTAGTCTGAGCTCGCATTGAGATGTTAGATATGTATACACGGATACATAGGGAGGGATACATTACGTATTTCATATCACTTACCACCTTGTACACACATACTAATGCCAATCAAATGTCAACATGGCAAGAAAATATGTAATATATCAATATATCCCTCGGTTTTTACATACATGTATAGTCACACAATATACATACATGTACCTCTATGGAGAATACAGGTTGACTGTGGAGATACAAGGAATAATCGGCTATGATCAGTGGGAGGGGCTGTATAACAGCTCCATTGCAGTACCCTAACCCATCATAACTGACACACTTCAATTTTATATACTAAGTAGTCACACACTCACTGCATTGAGCTCACTTGGAGTTTTTTATTAGCCTTCATAGCATGCCAAAAACTGGGGGTTTTGGGGGTCTTTGGGAGCTTTTATGTGCTATTTTCTGATTACATGTATAGACAACATAGCCGGCCTGGTTGAATTACCCCCGTTTTTTGAACTGGGCTAATCAGAAAACAGCCGAAGACCACCAAACCCCCAGTTCTATAAGCCTGCTACGGAGGCTAGTTTTTATTTAGTAGACTGGTTTATTTGTTTCAACAACAATGCAACAACAGCTCGACTGACGGGCAATTGCGGACGTGAGGGCTTGTTTACAGTGCAATATTCACCTGTTTTAAAAGGCTGTGTCAAAGTTTTTGATTAACCCAGTTTTAGTAGACCTAACAATACTTGGCCGTATGTATATCAGTGGCGTCGTGTGGTTTAGTGGCGTCGTGTGGTGTAGTGGTACATCACTGGACTATGAAACGGAGAGACCCGGGTTCGAGTTCCGGGTCGTACCCGAACAAGTCCAAACATGCGCCCCGACGTTGTATCCTTGGGAAAGGTACTTCACAGGACTTTCCTCACTTCACTCAGGTGTAAATGAGTACCTAGCTTCGGCTAGGGACGTCCCTCGGATAGGACGTTAAATGGAGGTCCCGTGTTTGGGAGAGCCACACCCCACGCACGTTAAAGAACCCACCACACTTATCGAAAAGAGTAGGGGACCTTCCCGGTGTGAGTGGTTCAAACCTTACAGTCTGGTCTCGGGGTTGACATCTTTGAAGAGGTGATACTCACCTGTTATGTCAATCCTTCCACAGATGTGGTAAATCGTCATAAAATAAAATAAAATAAATAAAATATCGTCATTCAGAAACTATATACATGTATGTCAGGGTAGAGATTCCAATTTGGTACATGTAGAATCAGCGATTCTTTGTCGACAAACAGGATGCTGCTAATCTGTTAGGGTGGTTTTAGGTTAAGTTCTAAATTTCAAGTCATCCATTGATCTAAAGTGACATGAATCTAGGTCTACTAGAAAAATTCTGACTGTCTTTTAAATGAATTATCTTAAAATGTACAAACTCTAATTGGAATGATCTTTACTGGTAAAATTGCTGATTCTACTGGCAGAGATCCTGATTGAAGTTTCTGTTCACAGATATTCTGATCAGAACCTCTGATTCTACCAGATCGTAGTTTTTACCCTGACATACATACAAATATTTGCAATGTAGTCCTGTGTATGATCCTCTGGACCCTACTTCAGGATCAGAAGGCTGTTGCCTTCTTCCAACTTGCTTGCTACCAGAAATGGTTGCAAAAAGATCATACATTGCTGCAAAATCAATGACTGAAAAGGCTCCAAATTTGCATGACATCCCCCTGAAATTTCACTGCCGTGTAGGTCCCCGCCCGTTTTGTCCCCGCTGCCCCGCGTGCTGTGAGTGAAGGAAGGGAAGAAGACAAGGAAAATGAGGAGCAAAGTCAGGATGGACACCAGGAGGAGGAGGAGAAACTGGACCACAGTCTGGAGAAGGAAGAGGAACCAGAGATGGATCCTCTGGATTGATGATAAAAAAATGAAAGAAGAAAAGAGTAGGAAAAAGGAGAATAGTTTGAACAGGGAAGTGGTGGAAAGATGGAGGTTTTTGATGAAACATTTGAGATTTAGTTGAAACCATGTAGCTTTTTTGTGAAAAGGTAGAAAATTTAGTTGAAAAGATGGAGTTTTTGGTGGAGAGATATCTGAGTGAGTTTTTTGTGAAAAGGTGGAGGTTTTTGACTGATTGATACAAGATAAAGAATGACCAAACTAACTATAGCTGCAGTAAATACATGTGATGTAGATAGCTTTAACAGTAAAAAAAATGATAGCAATAGGGTATTGCAAGGGTAGTTATTGGAGAAAAAAAGTAATGGATGAAAGGCTACAGTTTACAAGGGCTTGATTCCACAGTTAGAAAATTAACACTCTGCCTACAGTTTTAAATCTTCTGTAAATTGAACCCAGTGTGGAATGGCAATTCTCACTCAGAACTTATCACATAATGATAAATCCTACATTAATTTTGTATAATTCATACACCTTCTAGTACCTGCGCAAAAAGCAGCACAAGTACCCATTCCTGAAACTGGCCCCTTGCTCCTCTCTGTAAGGAACCTAAGAATTCTTATCTCGATCTAAAATCACCCAAACACCACCAAGTTGCAATCAAAGTAATAAATTTCAGCAGTTTTGTTAATCAGTGTTTGATTCAGTTGCAATAATTTTTTCTAGCACTGTGATGTTTGTGAACATTTTATTTACATCTGATTCAGTACATTCTGTGCAGATCAGCGATACTAGAAAACATTGAGATTAAGGAGTCAAAACAAGCTTCATAATCATAATTAAAGATTGAACAAATTCAAAGTTTCTATGTAATTGAAGTCATTCTGTGCCATGCTTACTGTTATAGATCTTTATACAAGAAATAAAGTCATTGCAATCCATCCTGGCTTAGTAGTCCTTGCTTTTCTAAAGTCATTAAAAAGAAAAAGAGTGTTAATTTGGGTCATTAGGCCATACCAATTTCACGGGTGCCAGAGTATTCAGTGCAATTTTACGGAATACAGTGCAATTTTATGGAATACAGTGCAATTCTACGGAGTTCAGTACAATGATTATCATATTACTATACAGTGCAATTTTACAGAATACAGTGCAATTTTACGGAACACAGTGCAATTTTACGGAACACAGTGCAATTTTACTAGACTAAGTATACAGTGCAATTTTACTGGTACACGTGTATACTTTGGCACCCCTGAATTTAGGCATTTGAATTTGCTAATATGAAACCCGTCTACAATTGATAGAAATTGACAGAATTAGATACATCACTACATGTCACACTCACTTGTATACATTTTGTAACTGACACTTTTAAGATTACATCCTTTGCATATGAAAGTCTCAGTATTAAGCAAATTTAAGAATTACTGAAGAATTTAAAACAAGCTCTATGTAAACCTTGAATGCAATACTGTGGTGACACAAGTTCTAAATACAATATCCACAGGCGCACAACCAAAAGTAACATCTGGTTATAGGAGTTACTGAAAAGCAATAATAAAACAGAACAGGTATACAGAAAAAAGTATTTCAAAAGTAGTACAACATGTTGGTACCACTATTTTCTGCTGCACCCACACTGACAAACTACATTTACACACAGTTCCAACAGGCATATGTGTTACATAGTCTGTGATGAAGAACTATACAATGTAATAGTCTTCTGATAAACAACTATCACTTCCATTGTCTTCCAATACCTCACCAATACTGACTAATAAGAGCATTGATAACATTAGGAAAATGTATTACTACAGAGGAATAAATTTATTAGAACTTTAGATGGCAACTGAAAAGTCAACATTTGCTGGCTACTGCACAATATTCCCTTCCATCTCTTACAAACGTTTTGTCTTAAGACCACTAAATGCATTCAATGTCCTTGAGTCAAACAAGTCTTAAGGTCAACAAACTTCTGTCCTCACTGTCTGTACAGTAACCCAAAGCATTTGAGTGGCTCCCATGAGCCTTGTTTTGCAGTGAACATGAAGTAAAAAAGTAATTAGAAATTTTTAAAGTAACATTAAATTTGCAAAGCAAAGGCTTGATGTTTACCTTCGGATATGGTCTGCTCTGCTAATTCTTACTCGAACACATTCACATACGTGTATATGGTGACAGGAGTCTAAATGCCTACTATGAAATTGCAACATTATGTAACCCAACACCAGTTACTATGGTGACAGATGTCAACAAATGAGGCCATTGGCCAGGTCGGAGGTCACTGTCTGGAGAAGAAGAGGAAACTGAATAAAACAGTATGTTTTCCTTTGGTAAACATAATAAAAAATGTTGTTTCTCCCATGCCAGGCGCCGGGGGAGGAGCTGGATGACCTGACCCTGGAGGCTGACCCTGGGGAGGAGTCAGAGGAGGAGGATATGGACCAGGAGCAGCAGGAGGAACCTGAGATGGAGCCTGTGGTCACACCTGACATGTAACCTCCAGTCACACATCTCAACTACTGTCATGGGACACTCAACATTTTACTTCTTTCCTTTAAGGCCACACTAGTGATGCATACCTAAACCCAATTTTAGGTTCAGGTCCGGATTCAAGTCCAGAGGTTTAGGTTCAGTTCCGGACTTGTAAGTCCGGACCTAAACCCATGGCGTATACAAAATTGCATGTTGGCAACCTTGCAATGTTGTCTGGGTGAAGGCCGGTACTTGACGATGCCCGATGGCAATGTTTTCTTCGTTTTGCAGCAAAGATTTTACAATCTACGGAAGGTTTTAGGTGGTTTGGAAAAAAAAGGGGTATGTGAAATGGTCTTTTATGGTAATAAGTCTTGACTTTTAGTTTTTTTGGGACCTGAACCTAAACATTCTTACAAATCCGGATCCAAGTCCAGAGAACCGGTATGCATCACTAGGCCACACCAATTAAATTTGTTGGTTCTCAGATTTGCCTGTCTGGCTTGCTGTCTTGTGATCAACTGTGAACATTTCAGCCATTTTATCTGAAGATGATAATATTTTAGAATTTGACATATTATCAAAATAGAAATATTTTGTCAGTCTTGACACATACATTTGACCTGTGCCATGATGTCTTTCTTGTAAAAGTTAACATTCTATGGAAATTTTCATTCCAACATTAAGAATTTAAGTTCAGATATTTAGTCTTCGATGTTGCCTTGACTGGAATACCCTTAAAAACCCACATCTGTACATGTAAGTAAAATAGTTACTTGATATAACAGCTTTCAATTATAGTTATTACTTCTAGGAAACATGCTTTTTATCATCTGGTGTTCTTAATGTGAATGGAATATTTGAATGGTAGCAGATGTGGTCACAAACTCTTATGCATAGATGTTGTATATGAATTACTTCTTTTATCGTACATTGTGGTGATTATGCTCTGATGTAATATTGTGCCATTTGCAAATTAAATTCTATCCTCAACTGCATGTCTTCTGGCTCTGTTGTCGATGGTACTTGATACAGTACAAAATGCAGGGCCCGGTTACGTTAACGTTAGGCCATGTTGATTTGATTATATGGATGACATCCTCCGGGAGCCCCAAAACTGATGCGCGCGTGCGAATAAAAAAAAGTTTTGCAAAAAAAAAAGTTCTTTTCATTATGAAATCTACGTGGTCATGAGGGTTGAGCAAATGGCACAGAATATGGTTTGGCGTGGCATTATCTAGTCTTCAAGTTCATTTCTTTACAATTTCGTCTTTTTTTCGTTTGATTTTGGCATTCTACGACATTGGTATAGTTTTTAATAATTTTTTTGGTAACTTATGGTATATTTTTGCTCATTTTGCAACTGTTTTGTACGATTTACAGTATGGTTGAAAACTTTTTTTTTTTTGGAAACGGCCGAAAATTCATGCGCGCGCGGATGTCATCCATATAATCAAATCAACATGGCCTTACATGGCTAGGCGAAGGGATAGCAAATCCACATTGTATACAAGTCATGTACCACTAAAATCATGTTTAAAAACATGTGAATTTGCTGCCCTACGTGCCACAAGGGATCAAACAAGAACAACTTTGAAATTTAGTCAGGATAATACTATAATATATAGTATTCTGCGTTGTGGTGACATAAATGTCACTATTGTGACAGAGACGGTCTCGTACCTTAAAGTTTATAGACGTGAAGTCTGTTTGGTCGCTGCCTTGGTGTCCTCGTCGACGTCGCTGAGCCGCTGAGGTGACGGGGACGTCTGCTGATCGTCACTGTCCATCGAAGGGCCCTGTTCTTCAAGATACCCATCACCGCGGATGTCACTGTTCTGAGCGACACTACAGATGTTCGCGACGTGCATGTTGGTGAGCGTTTGCAACGGGAAGGCAGCGAGCACGTTCTTCGGCACGGCCTTTTCTTTACGTTTGCGCCGAATGTCGAGTGAGAAAAGGCCGGCCGTTCTTCTTCTTCTTCTTCTTCTTC